TTACGTCACGCAATTGTGGAGTAAACTCATCCAGTCTTATGGTGAGGCTTATGTCGTTGCTCTTGACATCACGAAAGCGTTCGATCAGCTGTGCCACGCTGCCCTTTTAAGCAAACTTCCATCTTATGGCCTCCCAGAAAAGTTTTGCAGATGGATGGCTGACTTTATCTCTGACAGCAAGATCGTCGTAATTGACGGGTTCTCCTCTTCATCCCACAACGTCAACGGGGGTGATCCCCAGGGATCGGTCTTGGCTCCGACACTGTTCCTCTTACATATCAACGACCTCCTTTTCTGCACGATCAACCCAAATCACAGTTTCGCTGATGACAGCACTCTACATGCAGGAATTCAGAGTGACAGCCGATCTCTGCCGCTGAGCTGGAAAATAGAAAACCAGCGACGACTTCCTCACTGACGAGAGACCTGGAAGTTATCACTGTTTGGGGACGCAACAGTCTTGTACAGTTTGATGCTTCCAAAACACAGTACTGTACCTCGACGAAGAAAAAGCGTCCTAAAGCTTATCCGGTTTCGATGGATGGCCGGGTTCTGCCGAAGAGCCATTCACTTCGACAGGTCGGAGTCCAGATCACCGAGGTCTTGATTTGGCACGAACTCATCTCGTCAAGAGCGGCAGCTGCTGGGAAAAAGATAAGCTATTTGTTTAGGGCTCAAAAGTACTTTTCTCCGCATGACCTTCTCACTCTATACAAGGCCCAGATTTATTGCTCACACATTTGGGGTGCTGCCGCCTGTTTTTGACCTCCCATCCTAACCGTGTCGTGTTCGTTTTCGCAATCAAAAACATTGTTTTGTGCGGAATAGACTGGGATATGTCTCGGAGTCCCTCAGAATGATTTTTTTTTGTTAACAGCAATGAAGTTTTTTATGTTTGAATCTATAATATTATTGCACTAGTTAATTATACATGACACGTACTTATTTTGTTCTCATATAATAAAATATTGCCTTTCTGAGAATTTCTGAGCATTTTCCATGTTTTTTTTTCAAGCTGGCCTTGACCAGATAGAACACAATGGATTTAAGGAGCAATAAGAAGATAAATTCTAGGAGTTCCACTTAGGTTAAAAAATGACCAGCCCCAAATATTGTTTGCGCCCCTCCCTAGACGAAATCCTGAATCAGCCCTTCCATGTTACCTGGTTATTTCGAAATTTATGAGGACATAACATTGGGAACAGAAAATAATGCTGATTAAATGCTATAACATCCAACCTAAAGGAGGTGTATGGAAGTGACTACCTCTGGATTCAACACAAGCTCTACGCCACAAAGACTCTCTGACTCTTTGGAAAATACCTGGCGCAGTACGAACAGTGTTGAAAGCCTCCTGTTTACTTCGTCCTAACTTCGTGTCCGAGGTTGCTAACGATTTGTGATATCTTCCTTGTTGAAATCACTTAATCCGAAATACTGCAGAATTTTGATAAAAGAAGTGCGATAAATAATTTCAGAAGTAAAATAATAAGAATTTTACCCAAATTGATTGGTTATACTATTTCTAGTTGTGCTTTTAGACAAGCAGAAGGATCTAACATGGGTAATACCAGGAGAAGTATACCATGAAAACCAGTGGCGTGGATAGTCAAGGTTTAATATACGGCAAGCTTCTACGCTACTTGAGGTCTCATAGCTTTCTTCACATGCCATATAGTGTTTCCAATATCAAGCTTCAATAGGGGATGCTAAACCTTTTCATAAGAATAGTTTAGGATTTTACCTCAATTATTCAAACCTAAATATCTCCAAAACGAGAGATCTGACAAAAATTCCTTAAGAGACAAAACTTATGGAAAATTTATTTTATAAAATGCACTTCTTTTCTCTGAAAAAGCCAGTCGTGAAGAAAATATTTCCTATTACGGGTCCAGGTACCCAGTTTCTACGTGCCTGGTTTTGTTTGGACCAAAAAACTCTGAGTGCTTATTGCTGATGAAGTGCTGACTGAACATCTGAAATCCTAACTCAGTATCTTTATCCGCTCTGTAGATGTATTTTTTTTTAATTTCGTAAATCAAGCTTCATCACCCTGCATCTCGGTAGGAGAGCATCTTTGGATCCATATTTATAGGATTTTTTTTTGTTATTTTTGAATGTACCTTCTACCCAGAAATATTGGCACGCCCTTCTGAAACATCCTGTGTACGAGCCCAGATGCAGATTTGCATATTTTCGGACATTCTTTAGCATTTGAAAAAAAATGATCAAGCTACAAATTTTGGTATGTGGAAATTTCAATGTTATTTTTTTGTAGTCATCAAAACAACTAGCTAATCCTTTAGAACTTTTATCTTTCCCACAATATTATATCTATAACCAACTCAATATAGAAAAACAAACTAAAAACTACAGACTAATTTGTTTGCTCAGCCCATTTACAAGACTTATAGAAAAATATATAGCCACTTGTCTTACATCTGGCTTTGACTCTTTTCAACTGTTTAACATCAGTTTGAACTAGCTTCAGGCAATTATTCAAATACCTTGCTATTTTAACATTAGTATTTCTACTATTACAACATAACTTCTTTCAAGACAATGACTATATAAAACTACGAATCAGTTACTTGAAATGCCCTCACACAAACTGTCCACCACGGTACCACTGAATATATAGTCCAAAATTAAGGGGAATCAATAAATTGCCTGATAATACAGGGTAGCCGAAATGTAACTGACTGGATTATGCCTTGAATAGTTGTGAAATGAAATACGTCCATTTTTTTCATCTTGTTTTTAATGGAAACTTAGAAATTATGTATGAAGAACAATATCAGACAAATGTCCACCTCTAGAAGCTGCGTAAACCTGAGCACTCTTGATTACATTTTCCATCACTTTTTGGTAGGTTTCGGGAGTAATATTTTCAGTCGCTTCCGTCATATTTTTCTTCACCTACTCTACAGCATTTGGTTTATTGGCATAAATCTTATTTTTCAACAATTATCATAAAAAAAAAAAACAGGAATCATTAAATCCAGTGACTTTGGTGGCCAGTTGACATCACCAAATCGAGAAATTAAACGTCCTAGGAATATTGTTTGCAAAAGATTCATTGTTTCCTTAGCTGTGTGACAACTTGCTCCGTCCTGCTGGAACCACATGTTTTGCAGCTTAAATTGTTGGATTTGAGGAGCCAAAAAGTGTTGCACGGTAGCGACAGTGACAGTAAGAGAATTACCAGCAGCGTCAAAGGAGCAAGGTCCATTGACACCTCCATACCAAACACCACACCAAGCTGTGGATGTAGTGGTCGTTGATGGATGACCCGAGGATTCTCTAATGCCCAGATACGATTATTAACAAATCCGTGCATATCGAATTGGGCTTCATCGCTCATTATTAGTTGTCGGTAAAAATCGTTATTTTGGGTATTAAGCTGCAATATTGCATAACTGTATTTCGGCAACTTTCATGATCACTAAGGCCCGTATCGTCAGTCGTCCCTACAATTGTAGGGCGCGTTTATGGCCTCCTTGATTGTCATACTTCTTTATCTCCTTCAAAAATTTCTAGATTACACTTGTCCCGTGTCAGCGTCAGCGCTCTCCTATTGTAAAGATATGTTTTCTTTTTAAATTGTAGGAAATTTCAGGCTGGTAAAACATGATATAACTCAAAAGCAAGGACAATTTGATGCAAATAGATGTTTGTGACATAACCTCAAAATAGAGCGCTGACACGGAGAAGTAGAAAACTATGACAATCAAGGAGGCCATAAAGGCGCCCTACAATTGTAGGGACGACTGACGATACGGGCCTAAGCTGTAGTTCATGGGTTAACTGAATGTTGTACGGCCGCAAATGTCTTTTTTTAAAATAGTGCATAATGACGTGTGACGAATACCCAGTTCTTGAGAACGATGTCTGGTAGACGTTTCAGGGCGCTCCACCATACTTTCACGAACTCTCTCGATATTTTCCGGAGTACGAACAGTTCGAACACGGCCCGACCTTGGCAAGTCTTTAACTTCACCTGTTTGTTCAAATTTCCGCACCACTGGGCACATTATTTCGACCGAAATCTTGTCGTAGCTTCCGAATCGTTGCAGCAATCGACTCATTATTTAAGAAAAACGTTTTAACAAGACGAGCGCGTTGCGTCGTATAGCACTCCATGATAAATTGGACACATGTGCTTTCAACAACTACTACGGCGCCACCTACTGAAATGCGTGTATCAGTTAGTCATATATTGGCCACTCTGTATTAAAACCCTACCTCTTATTACCTTTAAAAGAACTGTAAAACAAATGTTCATAAGAAAAGTTGTGTATGCCTACTATATAGGAGTATTCTTCTGTGATATATATTTTATGAGAGCGTTATCCTTCTAGTTCCATGTATTTCATATGCATTTTAGTGTTTTTGTTGGCTTGTTGTCTATTACGAACTTTCTTTTAGTATGACGTGTATATGTTACTGTAAAAGCCCGAAGTGTGGTAAATCCTAAGATTTTCCGGTAAAACCTAAGATTTACTAACTCTCAATGGTAAAAGTCCGAACAGTTCTTTTATTTCGAACTTTTAACACCATTCACTAGGTAAATCTTAGGATTTACCTCAAAGGCACGGTAAATATTGAAAAAGACATTTTTTTACTATTAGAACTTAGTATATACTAGGTTTCACCAGTGATGGCTGGTACATATTAGTTTTGGGAATAAAAAAATGAGTAATTCTTAATCATTTATTTAAATTACGTATGTATTTATGAACCTTACATGTGTATTTATGTGTATCATATCTTCTCACAAACATAACATTGGCTAATTGAATCTCACTGAATCAGTATTGTTCTTATAATTTGGTATTTACGAACCAATTGAAGAAAAAGACAATCGTCATTAATTATTAGGTACTTAGTAAGAAAAATATTATTTATTACAACACGGGGTGCTATTGTGGCATTTAGAATTACAAAGTAATCCTGATGACTTGTAAGCGCAATTCTTCGACAAGCATTTTTTGAGACAGTTACATTTTTTTAATCCTTGTCCTCCAGTCAACGACAATTTTCCAACAACTTCTCGAAGACTCACTTCTTTCTCTTATAATATTGGTACCTAGTTGGTAAAACTCATTGTCCTTTACATCTATCACAACTGCAATAATGCTTTTCAGGTCAGTTTTAGCTCTGTCAATGTCAGGTACTTTCAGTCTTACATTTTGGCCAACTTTCACATTTGAATAGTTATCAGACGACTTGGCTTTATTTTTTTCAGCTTGGGTTTCCAAATTCAATTTTGCTTTTGTTCTTATTCTCTGGACAGATTCTATCTTCTTCGGTATTGGATCTTCTTCAGATTGAGTTTCGTTTTCTTTCTCTGAATTGGTCTCTGAACCGAATCTCTGAATCGTTACATTGGCATGAATGGTTATTTGATTTCCCTTTTCGATTACAATCATTTCGTTTTCTTGTGTTTTGTTCCCCGCATTTTCACTGTTTATGTTCTCTTCTGACCGATTTTCAACAACGTTGTCTACCTTGTCCTGTTCAATCATAATATTTTCGTCGTTAATATTTTGTTCCGTATTTTCTTGCGAATGCAAAAAATTCTCTAAATCTTCTTCAGATCTTAAAAGTCGAATCATATCTTTCGGAATTGCTAACGACGCAATGCCCACTTTCATTGGCCTACTAAACATTGCTTCGTAGGGCGAGCATTTAATTCCCTCGTGATATGCTCTATTTTTCATGGCCTGGATGAATCTCAAGCCCTCTGTCCACTTTGACAACTGGTTTAAATTGAATCTCACTGAATCAGCATTGTTCTTATAATTTGGTATTTACGAACAAATTGAAAAAAGGACAATCGTCATTAATTATTAGATACTTAGTAAGAAAAATATTATTTGTTACAACACGGGGTGCTATTGTGGCATTTAGAATTACAAAGTAATCCTGATGACTTGCAAGCGCAATTCTTCGACAAGCATTTTTTGAGACAGTTACATTTTTTGAATACTTGTCCTCCAGTCAACGACAATTTTCCAACAGCTTCTCGAAGACTCACTTCTTTCTCTTTAACAACTTCGTCTATCTTAATAAAATCTTTAGAGCATGAAGTAAACTGATTCTGTGTGTAAAGCTGCTTTAGTACTCCAATACTGGTACCTAGTTGGTAAAACTCATTGTCCTTTACATCTATCACAACTGCAATAATGATTTTCGGGTCAGTTTTAGCTTTGTCAATGTCAGGTACTTTCAGTCTTACATTTTGGCCAACTTTCACATTTGGATATTTATCAGACGACTTGGCTTTCATTTTTTCAGCTTGGGTTTCCAAATTCAATTTTGCTTTTGTTCTTATTCTCTGGACAGGTTCTATCTTCTTCGGTATTAGATCTTCTTTAGATTGAGTTTCGTTTTCTTTCTCTGAATTGGTATCTGAACCGAATCTCTGAATCGTTACATTGGCATCAATGGTTATTTGATTTCCCTTTTCGATTACAATCATTTCGTGTTCTTGTGTTTTGTTCCCCGCATTTTCACTGTTTATGTTCTCTTCTGACCGATTTTCAACAACGTTGTCTACCTTGTCCTGTTCAATTATAATATTTTCGTCGTTAATATTTTGTTCCGATTTTCTTGCGAATGCAACAAATTCTCTAAATCTTCTTCAGATCTTAAAAGTCGAATCATATCTTTCGGAATTGCTAACGACGCAATGCCCACTTTCATTGGCCTACCAAACATTGCTTCATAGGGCGAGCATTTAATTCCCTCGTGATATGCTCTATTTTTCATGGCCTGGATGAATCTCAAGCCCTCTGACCACTTTGACAACTGATTGGTTTTCATCCACGTACTGAGCATATTTTCGATGTCTTGATTGGCACGCTCTACTGATCCTTGCCTCTGGCTATGTCTTGGTTTTCCGTGTACAATTTTAACATCTGGCCACATAGAGCATACATTTTCAATTAAATGGTTACAAAACTCCCGACCATTATCGGAATGAAGGATATTCGGCGCTCCAAAAGTAGTGAAAATATCCAAGAGGTGATATGCAACTTCTGCTGCGCGTGTAGTTTGAAGTGCACGAAGGATCACAAATTTAGTAAGATGGTCTTGATAAACTAATATGAATTTATAATTTCCGTTCGGGTTGGTTTGTAGGTCTATGAGATCTAGTTGACAACGTGAGTTCATTTCACTATGACAATGCCCTTCTTCTTTTGACAAGGTTGTCATAGCTTCAAATATGTCATGATAGCCTCAACTGTAATGTTTTTGTACGTTATGACATGTCTTTATCAACTTTTACCGTGTCATTATGGTAAATCCAATTAAATGGTGGTAAAAGTTCGAAATAAAAGAACGTTCGGACTTTTACCATTGAGAGTTGGTAAATCTAAGGTTTTACCAGAAAATCTTAGGATTTACCACAGTTCGGGCATTTACAGTAACATATACATATATAATATTTATAGTTATTTTTTTATAATTGTAGCGTTACCTGACATGCACCATGCATACATTGTATACATGTTAATTTAAATTTAATCATATTTCGTTGAGAATCTCTCTCAAATATCAAATATTGGATATTATGATGGGTGACCTTTTTAGAATAAGCAAGTTTTTAAATATTTTATTGAAACTACTCCCACCGAATATGGCATAATCCCACAATATCCTAATATTTTTAGGTCTTCTCGAAAAATTGTTTGCCATGGTTAATAGCTAGTTAGCGGATAGTAGCTATAATAATAATCTGGACCTCTCTGTAGGTAGAACAATGTAAGCTCTGTAATGAACACTAGGTTAAACACTCAAATACTTTATTTCAAAAATACAGTTTGTGTGTCAGATTTTGTGGCCTATTCTCCCCATCATCTTTAGAGAAGGTTGGCCCTGAAACAAAATAGTAAGTGTGGTGTAGTATCCGATTATAAAGACACTGTTTCAGCGAATCTAAAATTATTTATATTGCTATTTCAAAGCAGCTCTTCGAAAGATGTTGAATTCTAAGTCAATTTGCAAAAACCAACCTTAAGTTTCACCATCTACAATTTGTTCATAAATAAAACATAATATAAATCAAGCATTTCCCTCATAATGTTGTCGAAGCCTATTTGACCGCTAGAGGTAAGTTCCAAACTACGAGTGATACAAGACAGGAAAAACTGATGCTATATGGAATATGCTATCCACCTCCTGATTTGTCGGTACGTTACGTCCCGCTTCCGACAAGTCAGCAGGCATACAGTGCCGGATGCTCCGCTGTTAGATTTTCGTCCGCCGGCGCGCATGACGTCACGCAGAGAGTGACTCTCATTTAGATTGATATGGACAACGTGCATATTTTCACCTACAGGCCAAACGGCTGGACGGATTTTCACATAAATATGAGGCGTCGTTGGATTCGTCTTAGCGGTGCTAGTGACACTAGCTGCTTTGAAATTTTATAAAAAACAAAATGGTGAATTTTAATCAAAGATTTTAACCTTGTAATTCCTACTTCATAGGCTACAGCTCAAACGGCTTGATAGATTTTCACATATTAGGTGTCGTTGGATTCGTCTTAGCGGTGCGAGAGGCATAATATACATTAAAATGTTATACAAAACAAAATGGCGGATTTAAATAAAAGATTTCAACCTTGTAGTTCCTATCTCACAGGCTATAGCTTAAACGGCTTTCTAGCTCCACAATAGAGCGTGTTACTGTAAAAACAATATGTTTCTACATTACATATATTTTACTATGGCCTGTGGAGCAGGATTAATACTGCACTACATTTATTCATTCTTATTTCACAGAACATCCTAAGTAATAACTACAAGCAAGTGTGAAAATGTACGCAACTCGAAAAGTATAAAAATGGAGTTCTTTTTGCAGTAAGCTGGCGTTATAACAGTAAATGGAAATGACTTAGTCTAAGCCACAATTTTTCTCCATTTCCTTTTACGATTTTTCTGGTCTTTCAAGCTTTTATTCAGTTCTCTGATCCGGAAGAACATCCTTGACCTGAAAAATAGTTTCTTAGCTTTTTCAGGGCAGTCAATGTTGCTGCTCTTCAACAGAAGTTCGCCTATAAAATTTTGGTTTTCTGTCACTATTCCGTCCCATTGAATGGAAACACCTTATTAAGCTTCTCAATTTGATTCATGAAAGCTGTAGAAGGTTTTGATAATCCATTCTCACTAAGATGGTGAATCCAGGAATAAGTTTCATTTGAGGAACTTTTCAACGTCTCATCCTGCAATTTATGGCAAACAAAGTCTGCCAAATTTTTCAGCCCATGATACTCGGGCGCATCTATTTCTTCCACTAAAACTTCCTCGTTATGGTCAGATGATACTTCAGGTGCATTCAGTGTATTCGTTAATGATGCGGTTAGTGGAATGTCCGGAGTATTCTCTTCTGTTACACTGCAATACTCTGAGTATGCGCCTTCGTTTAGCCCCAAAATATATGACCTTATTCTAAACTTAAACTCTAGCGGATAAGTTGAGCCCTTTGCCTTTTTTTCGTAAGCACTTTTCCGCTTTTCCCCATCAACAGATGTAGATGGTCCAGGTGATGATAGAGACTTGGGTGAATTTTCCATAGGAATGGCATCATCTTTTAGAGCACGATACCTCTTAGGGGTATAACCCAAAAGAGTATGTATCAAATTGACCTTATAGGCACTGTCACTAAAGTGCTTCGAGCAAACCCTAGCGCTTCTTACATTGACTTTGATTTTTCTTTTTGTATGATGTAGCCATTTTTTGGTAAGGTTTGGGTCTTGAGGAAAACTATGGAACTTCATGTCTTTGCAAGGAGTCCGTCTCTCTGGGTGACGTCACGAAGCTCCGCCCACATGCACAACATCCTATCTTCAGTGTATGTGTATCATGTAATGAACCGTCAACACTGATGGAACAGAACAGGCGTAACGCGAATTCATTGCGGCTAGAATGAGAAACGAGAAGGATAGCGCTAGTTAGGGCAAAACATTGGCAAAACATCGTGGTCCATTGTGGTATTTCCATGATCTAAGGATTTTAGGTAAATGTTTGTTTTTAGTAACGTTAAAGATTAATAGTGATAGTTTGCGACAGTTACTATAAACATTTTTATGCCGGACAGCCTTCAAGAGCTGTTGATTTATGTGATATTTGTTTAAAAATGGTTGAATCTTGCAGTGCGGTGAATTGTTGCAATAGACGCAGAAAAGATGTGAAAATGAAGCTTCAGAGGTTGGTTTTAATCATCTCTTTGTGTGAGAATTACCTGTTAATTGGTAATTCGAGGAAATATCTGGATTTTTAGGATACCTAGAGATCCTAACATGAGGAAGTTGTGGTTACATGCTATAAGAAGAGAAAACTTTACTCCCAGTACAACAACGGTAATTTGTGAAAAGCATTTCACTCCAGAGGATTATGAAGTTAGTGTTCATGGAAATAAGGTACTAAAAAATGTGGCAGTTCCATCTGTGTTTGATTTTCCAGCCTATCTCAAGAAAGAACCTAGCTATCGAAGGGTTTTGAAAAGAAAACATGAAGAATCCAACTCAAAAGCAACAGGTATGTTCTTTAAAATATGCCCAGTCTAGGCTTTAACTTGATGAAGTGGGTCTTAGTAACGTAATTATTTTTAGAACAAACTTTGGCTATTGGTGAAGTAGTAGAAGAACCTGAAAATGGGATCATGCTGATGATGGAAATATATTGGCAGCTGGTCCGTCAAACATAACACAAAAACTAGGATTTTTAGAATCAAGTGAACCTTCAAACATATGCAATTTTAGGTAATTGTCATTGAACTTTGTGTTTCTCATGAAACTGTTCATAAGTACAAACAAATTAACAAGTACAATCAGTGTAAAATTCGTAGACAAAGAAATAAAATAAAAAGTATGAATAGTCTGGTAGATGCACTACTTAATGAGAAGAGAATATCTGCAGCTCAGTCAATAGTATTACCTGAATTTATAATTACTTATGTTAAATACTAATTATTATATCTTCAAATGTGTAAAGGAGAATTTATTGTCAAGTTTCATACATATGTATATATAAATAAATAAACTTGGTTTTTTAATTATAATTATGTTTCCAGGATTTTATCTCGTTTCAGTTGCCTGAATAACTTGTAAATCTTCTCTAAGACTAGCTCCATCTCTCTCTCTCTCGGGCCTGTTTGTCGTATGTTGGCCGCATTATCGTTTCATTGTACAAATGGGACGGGGCGATTCCATCAGTGTTGACAGTTCATTGGTATCATGGCAGGCACACGTTGAAAAAAATCGCTTATTAAAAAAGTAACTGCCGCGCGTATTAATACCGCACCGACAGATCAGGAAGAGGCATTCTGTTTTTATATGGTGATCTTTTTTATATAAAAATAATAGTACCTCGGTCAAACTGAATTCAACCTGAACCTAACGTGAAGTCCATTTTTGCGGTACTTCCTTCGCAATATTGCTTGACGGTACACTAAAATGATCAGAAATCCAGATTGGAACTTGGAGTTTCTCTAAAAATATTATTAAGCTTTATGCATTTGATGAATGGTGCCAGTGATGGGCGCATTGTATACACGCGTATACAATGGTGAATATATACAATGTATAAAATGTACCTATATAATGTATACAATAGCAAATCATAGTTCAAATACTTGCAAGAGAGAGAGGGGGACAAGCGGGCACCACTTGTGTAGAAAGAGTGCGCCACACACCACATTGCTCGGCACAACAGTGATGAAGGCCACAGAACACAACTGTAACTTGCTGCAACGCCTTGTTTTCTACGCTCAAATACACATTTCTGTCGAATCTGTTTGGGATCAATTCCAGATCGATCTTAACCGTTCTCCGATTTTAGGTGAAACTGAAAGTTCAGGATAGATACAAATTCTGCAACATTGCATTATTGGTTTGACCGTGGAAGCAGTTTATAAATAATGAAAAAATACATAATATTTATTTATATACATATACAAAGATACAGTTTTAAATAAATTAAGAACAACAAATGAACCCCAGTTCATCGATTTCTTTGCTCTTGGCGTGTCCAACCATATTTGTTGTCGGTTCACTGTTTACCAACTTTCCGACGATTGCGAATAAACCTAACCTCACTTATGCTATTCTATACATTGTCTTCATGATTGTATACATTGTATACGCAATGCATACATTGTATTCATTGTATACATCGAGACGTAGAAAATTAATGTATACGCGTAAACGCCCATCAGTGTAACTTCCAAATTTCATTTTGGTAGCGAGAGTCAAATGCAATAATGAAACCTACATACCTACTGAACTATGCAATGTTACTGAGACATACTATGAATAATATTATGTGAGCCGGGTTTTAGTCAGGAAGAATATTTTCTTGAATCTTGAAAAAATTAGTAACAAGCTAAAAGGGTAACGTACAAAATACAATACAAAAACTATTGTTTATGATTAGAAGTTGTTAAAAAATACCCGAAAAGTGCGGGAGGAGTATCTATAGTGCGATCGAATAATAAAGTCGTTAGCAACGAAATGCTGATAGTTCAAAGACAAATAAGAAATAATTCATATTAGTAAGTCCCTTAATACAAAGATAACGGATATATACAGAACGACCCCAAATAGGCTGGTAAAAAGTACGTGGAAAATGCAGCTTCATTGGACAATACAGCATGGAACGATGGTAGCTATCGCTTAATAAGAAGAAGCTACTTAGGGGCTCAGAATTCGATTGCTTAGCTTGCTTTATATTAAAAACTCAATACCATAAGCGCGGCAACCAATGTAATCCAGAGAAAAGTGATGTTACTTTTTTTTTAATAAATAAACGCCTGACCACAACCAGGCTAACCCAACCAACCCACCTAATCTTGCCAACAGTGAGATTAAACCCTCAATTCCATTATAAATACAGTGAAAGCTCCCATAAGCGGACACTCACGGTTCCGTAACTTTTGTCCGCTTATGGGAGGTGTCCGTTTAAAAGAGAGTATGTAAGTATAGAGTATAAATAACGGGGTATATAATCATGAGGAAATGAGGTATTATAATCATGAGAAAAATGAAACAGAAACTCGCCACATTTTTAAAGTATGTATTTATGCTATATATCTATATAATATATGTACATATACGCATACAAAAACATAAATGCTTAAATAAATGGTACGAGAATTTAAAAAAAACATTATTCTTTAGCTTGTTGAAAAAAGTTTAAAATGTTTGTCTGACGAAATTTCACCATCTTTTGCTGAAGGAGACAATTTTCGTAATAACTTTCTAAATTTTTCAAATGTTGAAATCATCTTTAGCAAATTTTTTCAATATAGAAATATGACTTAGAGCTTCCCCATATGAATTTATCGTTTTTGAACCGCTTAGTGAGTCCACCAGTTCCACTTCTTCTTCTGAATCGTTGGGACTACCATATTCAAGTTGGCCTGGGCTTTCTACATCCAAATTCGAAAAGTTGCCAATGGCATTTTCTTCTGTTGTTATGTTATTGTCTATGGCCAGCAAATCATCTACTTTCTGGGGATCTGCTACTCCTAAATGTTTGGCATGTCGCAGTAACTGAGCAAGTGTCGCTAAGGGCAGATCGTCTTCAGCATCGCAATAATTTTGCTCAGCAAATTCTGAGCTACATTCACTTTTTCTGAATCCAGCTTTGCCAAAACAGTTTTTAATTGTAGAGGAATTTACTTTATTCCATGCTGTTTTTATAAAATACAAAGCTTCTAACACATTGATAGACTTTGTAAGCTCAGATAAGCTTTGACCATCGTCAATTTTTGTTAAAATATGTTTTAAAATCAAGTGCCGATAATAAAATTTAAAGTTCTGTATGACACCTTGATCCATGGGCTGACAAACAGAAGTTGTGTTTGGCGGTAAAAATATAATTTTCACATTTTTCATTTTCATATCACGAGGATGAGAGCATGCATTGTCTAAAAATAAAAGAACTTGCCTTTTTTGGATTCTCATTTTCCGGTCGAATTCGACTAACCACTCAGACATGATTTCTCGGGTCATCCATGCCTTTTTGTTGGATTTCCAAGTCGCTGGTAGATCCTTAATAGCAACGTTTTTTAAAGCACGGGGACGAGCCGCTTTCCCGATCACAATCAAATCGCATTTTTCACCGGCCATATTTGCACAGATTAAAATGGTTAGTCTATCTTTAGACAACTTTCCACCCACACATGTTTCTCCTTTAAAGGACAGAGTTTTGTCGGGCAATGCGCGAAAAAAAAGTCCACTCTCATCTGCGTTGTACACATCTTCTGGTTTGTAGCCAAGCAACATGGACGGAAGTTTCTCCAAAAATTGTGACACATCAACTTGATCTACTGCAGCAGCTTCGCCAGATATGCATTTGAAACTCACACTATGTCTCTTGCGCCACTTTTGCAGCCACCCGTCGGACGCACTGAAATTATTATAGCCCAAAGTAGTGGCGATTTCTTTAGCTTTCATTTTCACTAACGGCCCTGAGATTGGAATGTTCTGACTTCTAGCTTTCACAAACCACTCAAAACATGTTTTGTCTATAGCAAAACCTTCCTTTTTTAAAAAATCCTTCTTTTGATTTATATTAGTTCCTGATTGCCTTTTACTCCTGATATCTTCCTTATTTTTGGCAGTTTCAGCTGCTTGCGTTTTCCCAATATTAAACCTCTTTGCCAAATGACGAACTGAAACACTTTCTCTGTCTAATACGTTAACAACTTCCATCTTTTCCTTTAACGAGAGCATCCTTTTTTTGGTGCCATTTTACAGTTACAATAATAAAATACGTAACTCAATCAATTACGAATTTGCCTGAACTGAAGACAAGCCACAAGATTACATACAGGCTACCCAACGAAATGCGTAAATGGGGAATCACCTAATATAAATCGGGGAATTACCGAATTTTATGTATGTAAATATGTGCATTGCAATAAGCGGAACTAAAAAATCGTCCGGGTATTAGAGTTTCGCGTCCGCTTATGGGAGATTTTTTGATCACATACAGGAAAATCTAGTGTCCGCGTCCGTTTATAAGAGCGTCCGTTTATCGGAATGCATTTAACATTGAAAATTGATGGCTGAAATTCGGTTCCAAGGAACTTTGTCCGGTTAAAAGAGATGTCCGCTTATAGGAGCTGTCCGCAAGGAGAGCTTTCACTGTAAGTAAATCTTGAAGTACAACCTTTTCTTCGATATATCTTTGTTTCGATGATGCAGATGTGTTGACTGTCTGTTCATCAATAACAGAAATTATCCACGTTTGGCTTCCTCATACAGTGAAAGTACCTAAACCAGGATCCAGAGGCTGGTTCAACAAATCGTGCGATACTGCTTGTCAGCAGAAGATCATGGCACACGGAACCTTCTTACAAGACCCCACTGTAGAGAACAGCCAATCCTACGTCGAGTCCAGAAACAAATATAACGAAGCGGTCCGCATTGCCAAAGACAAACACGATTTCAAAATGAAGCATGGTAATGTCGTAGCGCAATGACAGTCGGTCTTTCTGGACGTTGGCCAAGCAGATTGAAAGGAACTTCTCAAACAGTAGCCTTCCACCACTTACGTGCCAGGATGGAAGGATTCTAACCAACTCAAAGGCTAAGGCTGAATTGCTTCTCAAGACCTTTGCTGCCAACTCCACCATGGACGTCCCCCCAACGCCCAAGTGCCATCGATTCAAAGGGTTCCCTACACTATCCGGGAAGTAACATTCATACATGAGATCATAAGATGGGTGCTCTTGTCATTCGACATCAACAAAGCTTCTGGTCCGAACTTGATTCCTGCCATTGTATTGAAGAGGTGTGCAGCGGAGCTTACTCCAGTTCTTTCCCGTCTCTTTCAGATATCTCACGAAGCCGACACGTTCTCAGAAAAATTTTCTCATGTCCAACCCATCCCAAAAAGGAATTAAAGACCGACTCTTACAACTACAGGCCTATAGCTCTGCTTTCTGTTATAAGTAAGGTGACGGAGGACGCAACAATTTTGTATGGCTTAATGCTTCCAAAACAGTACTGTACCTTGACTAACAATGGATGGATGACCGAGTACTACCAAGGAGTTGCTCACTTCGGCTGGTTGGAGTCCAGATCACTGTGTATTTGATCTGGTACGAACACATCGCGGCAACTGCTGGGAAAAAGCTGAGCTATTTATTTAGGGCTAAGAGGTACTTTTCTCCACATGATCTCCTCACTCTATACAATGCCCAAATAACACTTAACCTCGAGTATTGCTCACATGTTTAGGGTGCTGCCGCCCCGACTTCATTATCCATGCTCGATGCTGTTGAGAGGAGAGCTGCCCGACTGATCGATCACGCTGCTCTAACAGACAGTTTCGACCTTTTTACACCAACGGGCCGTTGGCGATCTAACTCTCTTCTTCCGCTACACCATTGGGATTTGCTCATCAGAGCTGTCCTTCATGATGCTGCCAGACAGACCCGCCTGACTTCGGCCTCCCATCCTAACCGTTTCGAACTTCGCACATACAGAGCTGGCCGATACGACCGCTCCTTTGTCCCTATTTTGTCGAGTTTGTGGTACAATCTACAAGAGATGGTTTTTCCCAGTTCTACTAACCTTACGCAGGTCAAAAATCGTATTAAAAAAGTTTCTTTGGGATCCTCATAGCAACCGCGGTCCCCTGGTATTTAGGCTTCTGCCTGCGCGGCTGCTTCGATGTGAAAAAGGGATCGTTTCTTGGGACAGTTTGTTCTTTTCCCCGCAGTATGTCAGTTTACATTTGTATTCCCATCAAATCCTACACAATTGGAGCCGTTTCAAGTAGTTAGAAACATTTCGCAATATATACGTATGTTTCATGCTTCGTGTGGCTCTTAGATATGTATACTGACATATTGTATTATTATTGGTTTATGTTCGGATAAAAGTGCTTTTATCTTTAAAAAATGTGAAAGCGGATTCTTCACGTATTTTATAATCCATATTTGGGGAAGATCTGTGAATATCTAATATATTTATTTCAGTATTTTAATAACATATAGTCTAATCATATTAGAGGAAAATACCCCTGGTTTGCGAAACAATTGTAAAGTCTGGTTTTATTGCTGCAACTTGCTAAAATGGGTACATCAATTTTTGTGGGAAAACTTTTTATTCAATCGAAAGTATGGGCAGGAACGGAAAAACTCTTCATATAAGATTTTTAGGTATTTATGAGACCTACAAAATGAGACTACCCGTAAAGAGATCCGACTAATAGCAAAACAGTTATTACCGAAAACCGAGGCAAACTGCAGGTTTTGGCACTTGTTGGTAATGCAACGATGGTTTCTTTTAAATACCACAATAAAGTTGGAGTAGATTGGTCAAGTAGTTTTTGAGAATTTCTAATTGTTTACCCCACAACACGTGTTTTCCGGCCATCACTACTAATTTATTGAGCAGGGCTAGTTCAAAGGGCATTTTATAGCTAAATGCACTAGTTTACCTTGCCGATATGAATCGCAAACCATTTCGGAAGATAAATGTTATTTTTATGCAAAAAAGGATGGGTTACGTTTTTTTTTTCTAAACAAATTCAAACATTTCGTATTTGTGAGTAATTCGCAAGAAAAGGTGATAGACACATCAGACAAATGTGTATAGTATAAACTAGTAGTGATGGCTGAAAAACATGTGTTTTAGGATAAACAATTAGGAATTCTCAAAAAAATACTCGACCAATATACTCCAATTTTGTTGTTGTTATTTAGAAGTAAGAATCCTACGGATCTGAAGAATTTCAAGGAGTTGCGTAAAATTATCGACACATTACCAACAAGTGCCAAAACCTGCATTTGCCTCGTTTTTCTGCCATAACAATCATGGTATTAGTCGGATCTTTTTACGTGTGGTATCATTTTGTAGGTCTCATAAATGCCTAAAAATCTTATATGAAAAGTTTTTTCGTCTCTGTCAACGCTTTCTATTAAATCCCAAAAAACACGTTTTTTCATTCTTTGTTTGTTAAATTAAAAGTTTTCCGACAAAAATTGGTGTACCCATTTTATGCGTCCATGTTTTAAATACCCCCTTGAACAACTTGCACCAATAAGACCAGACATTACAATTATTTCGGGGCAAATTTCCTAATATGATTAGACTAATAAGCGTCGAACCACACACTTATTTTTCAGCTGAATCGCGCATAATCGGAATAACTGATATATAAGTTAAAACATATCATTATTTACAGGAATACTTACGAAATTGATTGGAACTACATTGCTTGAAAACCAATATTTTAGAAATGACTATCAAGAAATAATCAAGATGTATAAACTACAGGACAGCTAAAAAATAACATCTCCAATCTATTCAAATCAAAATAAATGAAACATAGCTATAAGCTTCTTCCGCCTTTAACTAGTTGTTCGTTGATAATATTATGATGCACTATTCATAAAATTGTTTTTCATTTTCTGAGTTTAAATGACGCTTTGATATTTTTTCTAGTAAATAAAACTGAAGATGGTCACAAATTCCGCCGAAACGTTGTAAAAAATAGCTGATTTTTTAATGAAAAAACCTCAAGATTTCCTTGTTATTAATTTTTTCAAAATTACCACTATCATGCAAAATTTCAACATGATATTAATTTTTCAGACCTCAAAAAGATTGATGATCTTACTAATAGGAATTAGTTTCGGTGATATAAAAAGGAATGAGAATCTAATGCAACATGGTACCCTACAATACCGATTAGTATGCTTAATGCACTGCCATATGATGTGCGATGAAATTACTCGATTACTTACTGCCCTAGTTTACTATACGTCATTCTATAAGGTTCTCCCAATGCTTCGGTTACATTTTTACTTAGCACCAGTTCATCCTTGCCAGGTTCATCGCCATGCAAATTCTGCTTGATAGAACAGACTGGCCCTCTAATATTCGCTCGAATACAACTAGGTAACTTAGTATTAAAGATTTGTGGATTTAAAACTTTCTAAAACACGTTTTAACTTCAAATGAATACCAGTGTTCCGCATGAAACTCAAAGCTATGAAGTGTTTTCAAAACAACTGCTGTTATATCAGTATTTTCAACATCATTTTGGAATACGCGGATTTAAAGTCAACATACACCAGGGGATAGCAATTATGTCTCTTGATGTCGAAACTTTTGATTAGTGTCAGGCAGTATGGTATCCGGAACTAGCAATCCATGGGGATCTTCTAGCTTACGTCACACAACCGTGGAGTAAACTCATCCAGTCATATAGTGAATCTCATGTCGTTGCTTTTGGTATCATAAAATCGTTCAATCAGCAGCCCTCTTATGCAATCTTCCATCCTACGGCCTGCTAGAGAAGCATTGCCATCTGGCCTATCTGGCCGCAAGAATTGATAGCTTCTTAGTTTTAACTCACAACGTTAACGCGTGCGTTCCTAGGGATCAGTCTAGGCTCAGACATCGTTTTCCTTATATATCAACGACCCCCCTTCCTGAACGATCCATCCGATCCACAGCTTTGCTGGTCACACACTCTACATGCAGGGATTCAGAGTGCCAAGCTGACCTCTGACGTGAGTCTTGGAGGTTATCACTGCTTGGGGACGGAACAATATTCTACAGTTTAATGCTTACAAAACACGGTACTGCACTTTGACTAACAAGAAGCACCTTAGTGCACATCCGGTCCAGATCACCGAAGACTTGATCTGTCACAAACTCATCTCATCAACCGCGGCAGTATCTCTAGGCTTCTCATAACAGCCACGGCACCCTGGTATTTAGGCTTCTGCTAAAGCTACTGCTTCTGTATAAAAAATACTTTGGGTCTTGATATGCATAGTTTTCGGAACTGGGATATTTTTTTGCGAAGTTTGAAATCCGCCGTTTATCATATGAAACCTGATGAGTATCGATAAAATTCTGTTGATGTTCTAATTATTTTTTTTTAATAATTGAGTTGGAATTTGAAAAATCTTTCTATAGATTCGTGGATCCGAATTGTCAATATGGAGACAGAATATAATCCACCACGCAAAACTGACACCGAAACCTACTTTTTGTGAAAATACCAATTTCTTGGAAAAAACTATAAAGCGTATAATTCCACTAAATATAGTGATTCGAAAAAGTTCAAGAGATGGTATATCCTTTGTAAAAAGTTCTGGGCAAAAGTAATTAAGCAAAAAAAGATCTAATATTCAGAACTATTTATTGCTAAGCTACTTAAAACAAGATACGCATCTTTGTTGTGCCCCTGGTGTATGCGCCTAAAACTGATTTCTTAGATATTGGTTACTTACTGAACTAGATTTCTGACTACTTGAAGGCTATTCCTCAGAGCAGCAGCTACGTCTCTCGCAGCGTGCCTCAGTCTCTCCACTCCGGACCTATTCTCATCTAAACATGATAAGAAAAATTAAATTTGACTTTTACACTGATAATGTACGTGTAGTCTACATTTCTGCATAATTTGGCTTAACGATTCCTCAGCGATAGTGTGGGCCTGACATAAGACCCTGAAAGCATTGACAAAAACTAATGGAGTAATTCTGACGTGGACGAATGAGAATTGCTGGTAATGAGGGAGTGTGCCAAGAGAAGAGCGTGAGGCATTTCTCACAGCTTTACAGGAACTGCTTTCTTCATGTGGTTCTTAAGTAAGCACCAACACATCAGGATCAGTTAGAAAATTGAAGTGACAAACTCTCAATTCAATTGTGTGCTGATTCTTCAGACTCAAACACAGCAAAAGCCCTGGGATTTAGTAGCAAAGAACTACTAATAGCGGTTAGATGTTTCACTGGTGAATGGCCATTGATAAAGTTGAGTACTTGGCTAAGTCTTATCTAAACATTAAATTTGAAGTACGCGTACTTCATATTGTCTTAGAAAATGAAAAAATGCAAAAATCAATACTGTGCTGTAGTTGTATGAAAGAGAGATGAAATTCATGCGAATATGGAAAATGTATCAGGAAGGAAAAAAAGAGAAACGTCGCACGTACGATATATACTAAGTGACATATAAATCCGAACGCCCAGTTTAAATGGTTTTATTTTAATAAAATTTTGTATAAGTACTAAATGAAGCATAATAAGTAAATGATAAAAATTTCAAAATGATTGCACTGCTTTAAAGCCCTTTGACCTTTAATAATGTGTGGATGCACCCTGATGTGCTACGCATTCTCCAACGCGCCTAGGCATGCTTCTGATCAGGTGGTCAATGTCCTCCTGTGGTAACTCATTCCAGGCAACCACCAACTCCTCTCGAAGTGCTTCTAGAGTCTGAGGAGGACGTTGCAAATTGAGCAATCTCCTACCCACCATATCCCACACGTGCTCAATTGGGGATAAGTCGGGAGATCTTAGTGGCCATGGTAACAATGTGACATCATTATGTTGAAAGAAGTCTATTGTGACTCTTGCAACATGTGGTCGGGCATTATCTTGTCGGAAAGTTGGATCTGCCAGGGTGTCAAGATAGGGTAAAAGATGGGGTTCTAGAACTTCGTGGATATAACGCTGCGCGTTCATGTTACCTCTGATGAAGATTAAAGGTGACCTGGAACCATAAGCTATAGCACCCCAAACCATAACTTCAACAGTGTGATGAACATGTCTTTCAACAAAAAACTGTGGATTCCTCCTTTCACCACGTCGCCTTCTAACCCTGGCACGACCATCGTGCATGCCTAAACAAAATCGAGACTCGTCACTAAAGCCAATACTGTTCCATTCCTGATCCCAGAGTGACCGTTGTTTGCACCACTCAAGGCGATTACGTCGGTGTAAGGGTTACAAGGCGACGTGGTGAAAGGAGGAATCCACAGTTTTTTGTTGAAAGACATGTTCATCACACTGTTGGAGTTATGGTTTGCGGTGCTATAGCTTATGGTTCCAGGTCACCTTTAATCTTCATCAGAGGTAACATGAACGCGCAGCATTATATCCACGAAGTTCTAGAACCCCATCTTGACACCCTGGCAGATCTAACTTTCCAACAAGATAACGCCCGACCACATGTTGCAAGAGTCACAATAGACTTCTTTCAACATAATGATGTCACATTAGTACCATGGCCACCAAGATCTCCCGACTTATCCCCAATTGAGCACGTGTGGGATATGATGGGTAGGAGATTGCTCAATTTGCAACGTCCTCCTCAGACTCTAGAAGCACTTCGAGAGGAGTTGGTGGTTGCCTGGAATGATATACCACAGGAGGACATTGACCACCTGATCAGAAGCATGCCTAGGCGCGTTGGAGAATGCGTAGCACATCAGGGTGCATCCACACATTATTAAAGGTCAAAGGGCTTTAAAGCAGTACAATCATTTTGAATTTTTTATCATTTACTTATTATGCTTCATTAAGTACTTATACAAAATTTTATTAAAATAAAACCATTTAAACTGGGTGTTCGGATTTATATGTCACTTAGTATAGTTCTGGGTACTAAGTGCATGACTACGTGTGGGATTGCTAAGGTTGTGCCATTTCAAATGAACTTGCAAGGTGGGTGTCGCCGTCGCTAACTTTAAACCAAAAACTAATTCGAGTAAGACTTTCCCAACAACCACTGGATTAGTTTACAAATTATAAGAACTGATCTTATACTTCAATATAGAATTATGGATAAAACCTGGATTTACCACTATGACCCTAAAATACGGTATCAAACTGCGGAATGAACTAAAATCGATAGCTCTGCTCCGAAGCAAGCTAAGTTGTCGAAGTCCTCCGACAAGATTATTGCAATCCATTATCCCTAAAAAGGATATAATTGGTATGTTATCTACACACTAGTAAAAGAATAGCAGCAACATAAAATATCGTAATCTTCTCGTTGAGTTAATTATAAAAATTCGAGAGAATACCACAAATCTATAGAAAAAAGTCATCTTCGATCGGGACAACGCACCTACTCACGGAAGCGCGGTAACAGTGGCAACAATTATTCAACTACGTTTCGAATTACTTGGGCAGCCACCTTGTTCACCAGACTTAGCATAAATATTCTGTCTTTCATTGGTTTCTGTGCTTCAAGAAATCTAGGTGAATGAGCCGTTACAGTCGCAGACTTGCATTTTGAAGGGCTACCAGGAAATTACTCGAGGAAAGGTATACATCAAATATAAAATTGATGAAAAAACTATAGGATTGGAAGAAGGTTATAATGAAAAATAAACGTATTTTCAGAGATCAACTAACCTTTTTTCATGTAGAGTCCCGAAACCTTTCAAATCACGTATTAAAATGGCTAACTACTTGACACATCAAGAGGGAAGGTATGAAGCATAAGTTAGAGAACTAAACCCTAAAAGCCCTTTACTGATAAAAAACATGCTAGGATAGCTATGAAAATTTGCCAATGAAGGTTTAACCTGACATGAATTTAAAGAAAGCACTAATGATTACCTGGCACTGCTTCTACTGTGATCCACAATGCGACGAGCAGTATAATTAGAAATCTGAAGTGGTTGAACATCTTCGTCGAGCTAGTTCAGCCAGACTATATTGTTTTCGGCTGTAACAAAATTTACCGATACTGGACACTTCCATCTTTTTATATGTGGTCTTGATATGCTTATTCGTATCGTAACTACATTAAATAAATTTTATTTTAAGGATCAATCGTGTTTCTAAATAATTACATTTACATGTGGGAGGCATCTGCTACAACAACAATACTAATACTAAAAGTATGTCGTAAACTTTTATTGAAGATTTGATACAAATATATACTTATAGTAATTATAGCCTCAAAATTGGAATAACTAAGATAAAAATAATAATATTTTTGAAGAATGTTAAGGGCTTCTGAAACGATCAAGAGTGTAACACCAATATTTTCTGTTCTGCCCTTTCCGAGAGAATTCCGGCATGGTTCTAACACTGTTCATGCATCAAAGCTCTTTATTCCTTCAATGACACAATTTATCGTTTAATTTGTTTACGTAACAAAACATCAAGGAATCAGATACTTCACTTTAACGGGCACAAGCTGGACGTAGGCGGACAAACCAAACTTTATATTAAATCCACTTGCAAGGACACACAAATACATTTCAAAGATTATAACAGATATTATTGTTTAGTTATAAGGGAAATATACATTCAAAAACAAACACAAAAACAAATACCATCAAAAACAAAGCCACCAAGGTTGTCAGCTCTCAAGCAATTTGTTTGACAAGCAAAAATCTTCTCAAAGTAAGGTTCTTTCGGTTCACGAAAGACGTAGTCTGGCTTATGAAAAGTTGAGGAAGTGTTTTCGTTGTAGCCGACGGGACCAGATACGTCTGAAACAAAAAAGCAATCAAAAGACTGATTGTTGCTTTCTACGAGTTAATAAAGAAACATTTTCAAACGAATCATATACACTGAGAACCAAATTTGTCTGACGGCTTGAGTTCAATGTGTACTAGAGAGAGAAGTTTGTATAGACACATATGTTAGAAGAGACAGATGTTGAAAATACGCTTAGTTTATTCTCTACGCCCAAATAATGGCTTTCTTTGGAGCGTACATGTTTTTTAAATCCGAGTTGTGTCGAATCTGTTTAGATCGTGTGTGATAGTGATCCTAACCGCGCTCCATTTTGGGTCGAAATGTAAGGTCAGTTTCGCCGCATAATCATTGTTTGGCTTGGCAACACCGCATCTCGTATATTCCATGGCAAGGTCTCCACCTTCATGATCAAAACGAGCGATATTCACCTGCGTACATGCAGGCTATTCGTCATTATTCGTCAGAGCGGTCCGGTGGACCTTTGCTCTTAGTTAAAAGTCTCGTCGGTCTGTTAGTCTGTCAGGTCTGGCTACCCAGATACCAAATATGTTTAAGGGAAAAAGGGAAAGAAGGAAAGAAAGGAAGGAAGAAATTGAGCAAAGAAAAGAAGTAAATCATTTGAAATAGCTTAAGCATTATTGCTTTGACTGCTTGAATTATTTTGTAACTCCAAAAAATAATTTTGATCGGTTTTGTATACAGAAATAATTTTGGCTGGTCTGAATTTACAATTTAATTTTGATGACAGTTCGAGGCGCGGCCTGGAATGTTTGCGAACTTGCTCGACTGTGTAGTCTACTGATTCACGCAACAGAGGATTACTGTGCGATTCCGCTTGATTATAACGCCACTGCGCCTGTTGTTTTACGTAATCCCTTAAATATAGGATATCAAGATCTCTGTGAGTAGTCTCATTTGACACGAACCAAGGGGCGTTAGTAATTGTGCGTAGGGTGTTGTTTTGCAGGACTTGCAGTCTCTGCATGTGCGTCTTGGCAAGAAAACACCAAGCCTCGCATGGGTATGTGATTTTGGGTCTTTGACCATTTTATACAACCGAATCTTGTTGATCAAACTTAATTTTGAATTTCTGCACAACAGAGGATAAAGCTGCTGAAAGGTTATTTGGAATTTTGTTTTCAAAATATCAGTATATTTCTGCCAGGTCAATAACTTGTCAATGATGACTCCAAGATACCTGACAGATGATAAATGCAGGTTGTCTATTGTACTTAGCCATTCAATGGCTGCGGAAAGATCGCCTGCAATGCCTGAGTGGCGCTAATCAGGGGACTTATTATTTGTTGAAGGGACCTAAGCGCAGTTGCTAGGTCCACATTCTGCGTGTTCAAAGTGGGTTGTACAGAGGGGGCAGCCGAAGATGTTGAGACGGCTGACTTGCTGCGTCTTTGCGCTATGACTTCCAGATTTCGCCTGGGGGTGAATCCGCAAGTGGGACTGTTAGCGGGATGCGCCCCTTCACAGTTCGCACACTTTCGCTCCTCTTGTCCTGTGAGGGGGCATAAATGTGTCATGTGGTCGGAAGCACATTTTAAACATTTGGGAGGTGCTGTGCAGTAAGACTGCGCATGACCATACCTTTGGCAGCGGTAACACTGCCCAATAAGTCTAGAGTTCTTTTGAACTTCAACTCTGATTGCTAGACCCAGAAGCTCATGTTCATTGAACAGCTGCTGGGACTTTTTAATCTTGGGCAGTATCACGACCACCAAAGACATGGGTGCGCCGCCACTGCGTTTGAGTCGGATAATGTGGAGAGGAGTATATCCCCTCTGTTCTAATTCCCCTTTGATCTCCTGTTCCGTAAACATTGCGGGTATGCCTCTGACTACCGCGTGAATATTTCCTTCTGAAGGAAGAGGGAACGTATGATGGGGCACGTCCTCCTCCCTGAACAGGCGAACGATTCTTCGGTAGTCATCCTCAGTTTTCGGCAAAATCCTGATTCCCACATCAACGGCAACTGCGCGTTCTATCTTAATGCCTACGCTTATAAAGGTGTAGTTTAGATGTCGCCACTTGGTCGCATCACGCAAAACAATGGGCGTGAATCGCCCCTGGCGGGGTGCTGTGCTGGTCAACTCACCAGCAACGTGAGATTGTTGAGATAATGCACCGTCAGTCGATGCAGTGGCCTAAGATTGAGGAGATGTGGTCGCTGCATCGACCGTCATAGGACAAGTGGCAGAAGAAGTTGATACGTTTAATGAAGCAGAAGGTTTTGGGGGGCTGTCAAATTGAATTTTGATTTTGCTTTTGGAAGAGGTGGGAAGTCATCCGTCTTGTCGGTTTTGTTCGTTTTGTCGATGCGTCTTTTCCTAGACTTGGTCTGGATGAATCCGTCATTCTGTATTTCATCGTCGGTCGATGTCACGTCAGTTAAATTTTCAAGAGGTCTTTTTAAATTGACAGCCTTGTCAGATTTATAATTAAAATTTGCATTATTGATTAACTGTGTTACCTGGGTGGTCAGGCAGTCTATTTTACTGTTTTGATCCCTAACTGTCTCAGTCAGCTCCTTTATTTGCTGGGCCTGGCTTTCGATGATCAGGGTCTGGCGCTGGATGGTTCCGTCCTTTTCGTCTGCTACAGCTGGTGGCATCAATTCCTTTGATTTCTTGTTAATTTCTGTTCTCTCCTTCTGGCTGGGACGATTCACCATCGCGGACGCTGGGGGATCATTACTTTGACCTCCAGAGTCTATCTCCATGTTTTTAAATCGGGTTTTCTATTGAAAAACTTGAAAATTTTCACGAGCTTAAATATGACGTATTGTCAATTATCCCTTATATAGGGCGAATACATGCAGGCTGTGATAATTTCTATTGCGTAATGGTATTTTTTGTTATATTTTCCGACCACTCGCTGTCACAAAATGTAACAATAACTCAGGATCAAAATTAAAATAAATAATTCTAATCAAAATGAAAACAAAATATTAAATTAAATGTTCGAACCGACCTTCTTCTTGGGTTTGACAGTAACCTAACCTATTGTAGCTGCCTGTGCGAACATTTTCTGGTGTAACATATTGGAAATGTGGCAGATTGCATGACCTTCTGGGTCCCCGCTAGGCAATGTGGTGATGACCTTTGATCTACAGCCAGCTTCTATCTCTGTCTAACATGTGTTGATGCACTTCCGTCAGACAAATTTGATTTTCCCTGTATAATCATTTAATCAAACACAAATCCTCATAATGGGTGTAGCCTACACTCAAAAATAATTTTAGATTCTAAATTAAAACAATCTTATAAAAACGAGTTGATCAGGTTTATAAATTTTTAGTCGTCGAAAACTTTCAAACGTAACCTTACAAAAAAATCGACCGACAGTAAATTGTAGAATATAGCGGATTGCAGACCGAAAAACTACGATTTATTGGACCTATGGATAATCACATCTTTGATCGTTTTCGAGCAATAAAGTATGCTAATCTCTAGTAACGTGTCCTTTGATTTGAGTAAAATCACAATGCCTATCTATATTTTATAAGACCCGGCTGTTGAATGAAATAGCAAACCAACACATTTTCTGTCGGATTCAACAATCAGCTTAAAACTTATATTTTGCTTTGATTGATATGAATTGTAGAACAGTGTATAGCATTTGCCATCCTTTGGCCATATCGTGGGTAGCTAAGCACTTAGATAGCCACAGAGCACCAAACTTCTGTGCATAAACGCTGTTCTGAGCCCGTTTACTCCGTGGCTGTGCTCCATATACGAGGTCTGTAAATTGAGTGACGAGACTGGCAGGTTGCTTGGAGGGAACTCATTTTGGGACAGTCGACATCGTCGACATTAAAACGGCTGCAACCGACCAGCTGAAGGCTATTCCAGTATCGGAGTTCCAGCACTGCTATGGGGGTGGAAGAGCCATCTCCAACGCTGCGTGACAATACAAAATAGTGATTATATTTGAATAGAATAATTAAAAAAAAGTCTCTTCACCTAATTTACAGACCTCGTAAGTGCTTGGCTAGCTACGGTGTAAACACGGCCCTTGATGCATGTACATGTTTAACCCATTTTCATGACTATGACATAATATGCTATATAAAAACCTTAGGTGGAATCTGAGTGCAAGGGATTATTGCCTTATTTTTCAAGCAGCAAATCAGGCCAAGCAGTAGCGGGATTTTGTATGAAAAACCCTAAAATTTTTTCCATAGTAAATTTTTTGTCGGCATTGTTAGATTATTACTTCCTAATGACACGTTCAATTTGGCGTCGTGATAGGGCTGGAGCCTTTGCCGCCATTTTAATAAACCCCTTTGATCTCGAAAACCATCGATCCTATCCCTTAAAAAAAGGTCTTTTAGCTTTTTTTGAATCCTTGATGATTCTTGAAGTATGTGAAGTATAAGGAGGGAAAGTTGAAAATTCGGTATCAGCATACAACATTATTTGACGTGGAGGTATATTCATAATCATTATCTATTATCAATAATGCCATTTTAAAGTGAATCATATTTTCATTATAAAGATAAAGTCTCTCCATCAGTCTGTATATTGGCGATTTTATCCCTGCATAATTCCAGTAGCCGTTGCAGCGATTTTAATTGGACGGGAGATGCAGAAGATAATGCTGCTTTCATTGCAATCGTTGCAATGGTTGCTGAGGCTACGCAGTAGCAAAACGGTTAACAGGCAGACTAATGGAAGTGAGCGGTTTGCATTTTCGTGATGAAGATATCAGAAAATATTATGTTTTCCATAATTACGCGTGGTAATAAAAAAATGGATCCACATTAAAATGGTAATCGTGATCAGACATAATGTCTTAGGGATTTACGTCCACTTGAAAAAAAACTGATACGACGACAATGTACGTATGCCGCGGGACTGTTATAATACGAATTTATTTTTAAAGTTTCCTCCTCATATCTCAAGAATCATCAAGGTGTTGAAAAAGCTTTGACACTTTTTATGTAAAAATTTTACTCTTGACAAAAAAGAATCCCTATACGCGTAGGGTGTCAATTTAGCCAGTATAAGCGAAAATGTCATTACATGTACATTTACCCTTGAATTTCTCGTAACGTGTTGTGATATGATAAAGAATTTAACTGTCTACAAAAATTTTTCTATTACTTTTTTACAAAGGATCAATGGTTATCAAAATGGCTTCTCATGCTCCAGCCCTATCTTGACGCCAATTCAAACTTATCATTATTAAGCAATAATCCAACGATGCCACCAAAAAGCTACGTATTTCTTGGTCTAAATAGCTATATCCTTATATTCGTTTTTCTGGTCGTAAAACCCACCTCTCTTCGACCTTTTATTATCTTCTTCATCTTCAGCATCATCATCATCAGCTTCATCGTCGCGATCATCATAACCATAATAGTAATCTCTGAAAGCTAAAATTGAGAAAATTATTTGAAAATCCTAATTTGCTATTTACGAAACCTCAAAGGAAGAACAGATTGTAACTTCTAGAATATTGACTTAAATGTGTTTTATTTTGTAGCAAAATATAATTTTGAGTAATTTTTCCACTTCCCACTATAGTATTTTACTTAGGTAGGTTACATGGCATGCATAACACGAACAACTATGTCACTCCTTTCCGTCGGTCTATCTGTCTACGTCTGTCGGTCCGCCTGTTCACCAGTTGTTGACCTCGGATTTTGATAATATTTTAACACAGGTAACCAGTATACAAGGATATTTGTAAATGTTACATCTTTTGTATCAGTGTTGATACTAAGAAGCTCCTCAGCTTAGTATGCACCTTGTACGAGAAATAATAGAAAATATTGTTTTTTGGAATTTGTCGGTCATATTGCGTAATCATCCGTTGAGCGTAACAATTCATCGGATACTAATTTACTATCTTCTAACACGGAATTGAACTACTAGGAAAGTTGCATCAGAAGCCGCAACAAGGCGTAGGAAGTCAATTTGCTTTGATGTAATTTCTTATTTTCGACTCTAGTACTTGGATCAATCTTTTGTATTAGTCTCTGTTTTGTAAGGTTTTTGGCTTCTGTTTTGTCTCCTGGAATTTATTTAATATCATGGGCTCAATTCTTGAAAATCTGGGAATACAATAGCGTGGTTCTTCTACCTTCTGGAAAATTGTATTTCTGAACATTGATAGCACAGCCGCTTTCCTAGTCACATTCGGGAGAAAAAGTCTCTCTGTCATCCATCAGTCTCATCTCTAAAGATGAAGTTGGCTTTGTACTGGAGCGCTTAATGATATTTATAAAGAACCTAGGAACATACTATTTTGCCTCATGTGGATGCATTCACAAGCTTGTTAAACGTCAAACAGCTCTTATAATTTCGAATCTTTTCCCAAGGAATATTTTATTCTACTGCGCTCAAAAATTGACCCGTAAAGGGAGTGTAAATTGCTTGGTGTTGCCCGCCCAGTGGTGCGTGCTTTGGCGTAGTAACATGTGGAAGCTCGCCTGTAGGTGGGCAATACCTAGCCATTGTTACCATTTACACTCCATATTATGATACTCGAGTAAGACTTACGGGGAAAGAAAGGTCTACACCTGACTACACCTTCACGTAGTAGCCCATCTCTCAATATGTCCACCGCTTCCTGTGTTCCACCAAAAACTTCTCCTAGTACCTTGCCCATTCGATTTATGCCTATAAATATGAATGGTTCTAATTGAGGCAGACGAGTAGCTACCGAAATTGCTTCTGAATACGTAGTTCTCATTAACTGATAAAACATTTCGTCACAAGGGACAGTTTTAGGCCCGTTATTTTTTACTGTGTATATCAATAGCCTACTTAGCTTGAAGTCGCAAGGCACAATAATATGTCTTGCAGATGACACACCGATACTTTATTCCAATAACAATTCCTGGAATAGCCTTAAAGAGACTATTGAAAATGATATTATTTTATTTTCAGATTGGTTTAGACACAAATATCTATCAATCAATTTTCAGAAAACCATGTATATGCCGTCCACAAACCTTAAAAATAAATTACCGTCATTTACCTCGTTACAAATTAAATGTGACAATACAAGTATGTACTCCCATACATTCAGCTGATAAAACAAAATATTTAGGTGTTCATTTGGATCCTATTTAAAGTGGAATTTCGATGTTAATCATATAGTAACTAATTTAAGACGATTATTGTTTAAATTCAAGTACCTCACTAAATATCTAGACCATGAAACAATGAAGATATTATATCATGCACTTATTGAATGTCGCCTAAATTATGCCATACTAGCTTGGGGTGGTGCTCTTACCAATCAAACTAAGAAGCTGGAAATAATACAAAAATTATTTTTAAACGGCCAATTCTATATCCATCTGATATGTTATATTCCGAAGCCTGACAACTCTTTTTCTACAATGCTGTAATCAATTTATCCAGAAATAAAACAAACCTCATTTCATTGGACTACAAATATGAAGCAAGAAGTAAAGTCGAGGATATTGAAAGAATACTGTCTACAACAAAAAATGTAGGTCAAAGATGCTTCAGTTACCTCTCCACTAGATTTTATAACTTTTTACCAAGCCATATAAAATCCATTTAAAATAAAAATAGATTCAAAATTGAAATAAAAAAATTCTTGTTAAATAATAATCGACATGAAATAGCAAAACTCACTCAAATGAAAATAAATTAGTTTTTGAATGTAATGTTATTACACTTACCTTATGTTTAAATTTATGTGTCAACTACATTTAACTATGATCAAATCAAAAATTGTTATGAAGAATGTTTTCCCACGCACAAGAATACATTCTTCTGTGGGATTAGTTCAGTTTATTTGCGTATATATGCAAATTTATTTTCAATAAACTGTAATTATTATTTTATAAGTTTAACGCAAAAATTGCTAAATTGCAAAATTAACTTTTTTGTAGTAAAGTGTGAAGTAACTAAGCTAGTCAGTTGACATTAGTGTCTGCCGATCTTAAAGAAAGCTTCTTATCATGAGATAGTTATTTGGTAAGTTACTCTTCATCTTTCTCTCAAATCGCTGCTACCTGCTATATGTACATGTCGAGTCAATCCCGAATCTTGGCGAATAAGCTGATTAACCTCTTATATAACGAACTTCATCAATATCGCCTTAGCTGATTGATTAATTTATTAGACTAGATCATTACCTTACAATAATTGATACAATAACAGCCAACCTATTTATAGTAGCAAAATAAAATGTTTCCCCGGCATGTATCTAGGCATTAAGCTCTAGCTCTGCAGTTATCGTACCCACTTTTGGACTTGGCTCCTTATTGTACTTTTTAATACCACCATTTACCTATATTTTATATATGTTACTTAGGTTTTTCGAAAAATAGGGAGCTGTAAGCCAATATTTATAAAAAATATAGTATATCACTACTGCTCCTTTACTGTGCATGGCACTGATTTCAATTACCTACAGGAGGGATCATTCCCAAATTCAAGATTAAGAAAAATATTTGACTGTTGCTTACCTGGTACGCTAAAGAGTGGGTGATGATGTGGAAGACTGAATGATGCAGATATCAGGAATACCGCAGCAGTTAAACAATAATACCAAAATTTCATTTTTCTGATTTGCTTTTGGTTATTTTAACTCTAACATGGATTTTACATGTATTTATATACGCCTTTGGTACTTGATTTGAATGCACATAATTTTTTATTAGTTATGATAAAAGTTTAATACTTTTTTCATTTTCATGTAAATGTGTTCAAGTGACGGCTCACTCTGCGAATATAAACTAGCTATTAACTGGACTTATGGAATTTCTGGACAATAGCTGGGTAAAAAAATAGTGAGTGAAAAATATGGTTGGTCTAATTAAACTTGTTGTTTGTGTAAAATGAGATAAATAAGCATTTTGAGTCCATAAATTATATTTTCGTACGGTGATTATATAAGTGATAGAAGTGAAATATGAAACATGCCTGAATTCAAAGTTTCTGAGCACTCAAGTTTTTTCAACTGCCAACTGCGTCCTAGTGAGCACAAGATTCAAACCGCAGTTTGGGATTCGTAGACAACTTCGACTTCCCTAATGTCCTTTGGCCATGCTCCAAAAATATCAGAATCCCAAAACTCGACAAAAAACGTAATTTGGACAATTGTTTATTATTTGTATCTAACGTGGCCACCAGAAGAACATGGTATGCACAAATACATTCAAAACAACGACTTTAGTAACAAAAAAATAAAGTTTTAATTGTGCAATCGGGATTCACATGTGAAAATCCATCATACTACAGTTGTCGGCACCTTCCAAGATTTACTCTCGGACAGGCATAATATATCTTCTAACCCTGAAAGTGAAAGCCAATAGGAATGCTCGAGATGGTGGAGGGTTGTACTTAATGTCATGTTATTGTTTCACTTGGTAGTGACGTTCTTTGAAATTTCTCACGTTGGTCATATGAATTTGAGAAAGTATCTTCAAGCAAAGTAAACCATCTGCTTAATTAAAAAAAAAAAAAATTAGTTTTGTTTGCACTTAGGTCAACAATGAAACACTTGCACCCGCTATATTTATTACTTATATTTTTACATGAAGGTATATTATTATTAGATACATATGTACAAAGTAGTGCTGTGGCGGTTCAATCAAAAAACCATTTACAGAAGTCCGCAGCTTAATATAAGAAGATTAAAACAGGTCAGGACAGTTTGAAAGCCTAATGCTTACCTAAATATATCCAAAACATGAATATATCTAACAGGATATTCACCTGTAAACTGTAAAATATAAAATGTAAGTCATTACTGCTTGTAAACGCATGCTACATTTCCTTAGGAGGGTAAGGACTATCTTCCACATCACTGTCACTGTCACTATCGTTGCCATCATCTCCGATGTTAATAATAAATTTTTCAGATGTGCCGTCCACTTTATGTTCCCGTTTCAATTTTGATGACATGATCACATCGTTTCTTCAAACCATCTGGTGTTATCTTTGAAAATTCCTCCTCCGCTATTCGCTGTGCGTCATTTAAAGTAAATGTGAAATTTTGATCTGCAACTCTGTTCTTCACTGTAGCCCATATCAATTCAATAGGATTTAAATCGGGATGATATGGAGGTAGTCGTATAACTGTGTCCATGCATGCGTAAAAGTACATCATATTTATACTGTATGAATTGTTGCTTATTTTGCTTTATCAATTTATAAAGTTGTTGTTTCAGCATAATCGGTGTGAATCTAATATTTTTAGATACAAGTCAACCATTACTTGCATTTTGGTGCAGGATGCACTTGTATGTTGTGATAAGGTGCATTATCAGTAACTATCACAGAATTTGGTGGCAAATTTGGAATAAGCTGCTGCTTCAACCATTTCTCGTAATTTGAGCTATTCATCTCGTCATGATAATCCCCGCTTTTTGTACCTGACTTAAAAATCAATAAACCGTCATTTATGAAGCCCGTCGGAACTACCTGCATGGATCATTATCAGTCGCTTTCCTTTGGATATTTTGGAAAAGACACCCCACTTCCTACCAACAACCCAACTTTAAACCCTAGTATGTCGAGCATGTAGGTACGTAGGACTCAACTAGGAATATAATTTTGCGGCCTTGTTCTTGATTTTCTGTAGATAGCTGATTCTTAGTTGACGAATGTCCCAGTTCTCGATGAGAGGTTTTATATTATTCTGTGTTTTTTTTCATTTGAAGCCGAGTTGCTTGACTACCATGCAAATCGAAATCGTCTTCTAATTTCTTCCAAAGCGCTCCGATTGTTACTCGAGACGAGTTTGTTAAATGGAAATTATAGATAATGTTTCTTATATCTGCAGCAGTGAAATTATCATTTGACAGATCTGTCACGGTGAATTTGCGCTTTCTTGCAGTACTAATTTCGCCAGAAAACGCTGCTCGTCCTTGTCCATTACTTCCGGCATCCTTAACCTTTTTAACAATGTATCAGTGATATTTGCAATGTGAGAAAATTATTACTGAATATGCTGCCAATGAAGTAATTATATCTATTAGCTGTGCCCGACGGGTTATTTATATGTTTAACTTTCTGAAGACAGGTTAGGTTCAAAGTTATAAATCACGATTTTTCAGTTTTTTGTGTTTTCAAAAACTTTCAGAAAAAATATGAATGTCGCATTACACATCAAAAATTTTCGCAATGCTTCACATCTATGTGCTGATTTTCTATTGACATCACAAAATAAATTTCTATCTAAATGACTGGAAATAAAAAATAATGTAATACCCTTTTCACTTTCATAAGTATTCCTGTCTGTAGCATATTTTCTCACCTGTTCCTTCACCTACCTCTCATTTTTGAAATTCAGCAAATTTGCATACCTATGTAATTTTCAGAATGAATAAGAAAAGGTGGATGCGCAGCTAATTTCTAGCTTTGAATCTCAAGACAATATTTGAGATAAGAAATTATCATCAACACATATTATTAGCACACAAATCCTCACTATGCACCTATGCAATGCCGTTTCCTTCTAGCTATAGTATACAACTTACAGCTTAGACCTCCAATGATGCCATCTCTGAAGCCGATTTTACACATCACATCACATCAGAGCCATACATTGATAACTGAAGCATCATAACGTTTAGGCAACACGTACAACTACAAAACGAGATCACAACAGGTGTCCATCAGCTAGTGCTAGGTTAACATCTTGCAGAAAAACCTACACAATATCACGGAAAAACAATGTGATGTCAAAAATGACATATTGTCACTTTTCAAGATACGGAATACCAGTGCCGCCAAATTTCAGAGTTGAAATTTTCGAAAAAAATCCGCCATTTCAATTTTATAAAACTTTGGTGTACGCTGTGTCACTCACACTGTCAGAGTGAATCTACAGACACCTCATACGTCAAAATCCATCGAACTTGAAATACGTAAAATACTACTACTTACCACTAAAAGGAACAGTTTGATCCATCTGTAACATACACATACAATATCCTCGTTATGTGGAAGTAGTGTCAAAATAATGATTTGCTCTTCATCATACAAAAGACTTAAAACACCATACATATAACAAATTATTTATTTTGAAACAGCAAACCTAACAAAATAAGTTATTATAGATACTTTTACGAAACATGTTTATAAGTGCTCTAGTACTACTTTTCTATTATTCAGGATTCCAGGTGTTCCTATCTACGATGAGTTCCCTACGGCGAATAAATGTTCTGCCTTCTATCTCTTCGAAAACAGGAGATCTGTGCGCCAGGTAATCTACGAAAACGTCTATGTCCGATGGACCTATCTCAACGTCAGTCAAATAGTCTCTGATCGTATTGTATCCATCACCTCCTTTGACTAAAAACGATGGTACAATTATCCTGTAGGTTTTTTCTTCATCCAGGTCTTCGTATACAGGAATCGTGCAGTTCTGACATCTCACTTTCGCTGAAACTACTCTCTTCCCAAGGGGACGGCTCATGTCAAAAACGATTTGAACCCCTAGAAAGAAGATTAGGTTTAATACAAGAATCATTAGTGACTCTTTAACTGGCTTAAAAGCCAGAGAACATGCAGTAGTATTTTTTGGTGTTATACGGATTCTAAATGCGCGGCGTTGTCAAGGTGCTGTTAGTGGCGGTGGCTGAGACCACGACATAGGTTTCTCAGGTTTTTATCATTACTGTTCTAGAACAATCAAGACCATGCGCAGAAGAAACCGACGTGTTCGGGTTTTTGTTGGATTACTATGGGACCGTTTTAGAACTGAAATTTGGTGTTCGAGTTATATCCTGGTGCAGTTCTACGATGTTTCGAGAACGCTTTGAGCAGTTCTTGCTTTACTGCCGGGACCTTTTTTGAACTGATTTTTCACGCATACCCCAGCTTATTGTTGTGTGGTTATAGTTACTGACAAATGTTCTCTGCTCACAGTTATCTTCTTCGTTACCGTACTCCTCGGTTCAGGCTGTTCGGGTTTTGGCAAAATGCTGATAGTTCACGGACTGTTCACAACCGCTTCAGAGATCTTCCCCTTTACGCATTCAGTCTTGCACTGTTCCAGAACCGTTCTGTGACAGGACTGAATTTAGAACTCGAAAATAGTTAATGACGCCATGGCTCGGCATCATGGTCGCCGCGTTAAGCTTATTGTTCACATTCGTTCCATCATTACAAATTTGAGGTAACCATAAAAAGCTGTTCACGAATGTAGAATAGTATCTTAACATTAAGCCGCCCCAAAATTGACCGCGCTGGTCCATTTGGAGTGGGTGTGGATGGTTCCATAGATATATAGCACCTAGAAAATGGAGTGACGTGACATCATGCCGTTCGGAGTGATAGCACAGACTAAGTAAACCAGAAGCTCCACTAAGGCAAATTCCCCAGTGCAATTTTCAGACGCCGCCGGATAAGCGATCGGCTAATGAAGGTCACGCGCACCGCCGTATGCAACGTCGAATGATGGTTAATCGACGCGTACTCCGTACAGGTTCGAAATTATCTACATGTATAAAACGTCAAAAAAAAACTATAAACTTGCAGACTAGGTAGTTTTTAAGGTGCAAACAATCATTCCACGTTTGCTCACTAGGATCGTTGGGAGGGTCCATCTATGGAGGAATGGTTCAACTACACGCATTGTTGGTTGCATATGTTTTGTGAAGCCGATTAGTCTGTAGTTTCCATCTATGAGAAGAAGGTTGGTTGAATAGCAAGATCGTACCTGGACGATTATGTGTATTGGTCTGCATGTATATAAAGTCAGTGATATTTGCTGTGTGAGAAAGTCATTACCGAATATGCTGCCAATGAAGTATATATATCTATTAGATGTGCCGACGAGTTTGTATGTTGTGTTTATTTTTAGTCGATGCATAAATTGGAGAGAGTATTATTGTGTGCGTTGTACCATCAGTGATCGATCTATGAGTGTTTCACTAGCAAAACTTATTTCATTTACAATGTAATGAAGCACTCGAACGATGAACAAGTTCAGTTCAGATAATAGCGCTGAAGACACAGTCCGACCCTGTACCGCTGTGACAGCTCGAGTTATATTGATGCTCTCTGTGCTAGAACCTGTGCTGCTCTGTGTGCTGGTAAAAAATCCATTCGTCTAGCAAATATCAGCCAGGGTAATTTTACGACCCTATGCTGTGGTGATACTGAATGTCGCTATTTATGTAGAGCCCGCGCGGATTTGTTAATAACGGCTCCTGACTTTTTTATGAGGATTGTTGAAAAATAGGGTTTATGCCAACAAACCAAATACTGTAGAGCAGCTGAAGAACAATATTACGGAAACGATTGAAAATATTCCTCCCGAAACCTATTAAGAAGTGATGGAAAATGTAATTAATGGGGCTCAGGTTTACGTTGCTTTAGAGGCGGACATTTGTCTGATATTATTTTTCAGACATAATTTCAAGTTTCAATAAAAGATTAATATGATAAATAGGAACGTATTTTATTTCATTTCACAAATATCCAAGATACAAACCAGTCAGCTACATATCGGCCACCCTATAGATTCTACTTTAACACGACACAAGCGTGACATTATTTTCAGCGTTCATATGTTATAACGACCTTAGACAAATATCAAACGATTCGTAATCAAACGATTCGTATTTACTGTGATTCGACAGCATTTATCATGGAAATAGTAAATTATTATTGTGTAAGGTTACGTAAAAATCCACTGACAGTGACAGAATATCAGTAAATACTAGTGGTATGAATCACAGTAAATACTGATCGTCTGACATTCGCCTCAAGGAAATCTTCCTTTAGGATACCCATTCAATGGAATTTACAGGGTGACTTCGAAGTTGAGTCATTTATTTTAACAGTGAGTAGATCTGATCAAAAGAAATGTTTTTTTCCTTTACCATTTTTCTGGTAAAATTAAAGTAACAAAGTTATAGCCCTTTGGAAGTTTGAGTACCACCCTGTCTGAATAATAATATTATGTGCTCGTGTTTGGCAACAACGGATATAATCCGCCTTATCGGTTCATCGCATCGGAAACAAAAAAGCGAAAGAATTTGGAACGATGTTTTTACAATTATTTTATTCAGTTGTATTTAGTCAGTGTCAGTCGGTAACGCGTGAGTGAATAGTGGTGTCTGTTGCGTGGCTCAAACGAAATCAAAAATGGCACATGTTTACGAAAATGCTGAACTTGTGGACGTGATTCTTATTTACGCGGCATCACGGATTTATGCGGATCGGTTTCCCAATCGAGTGCAACCAACCCCTCGTGCCTTTGTTAATGTAGTACAAAGGGCTCGTGAATCAGGTGACTTAAGACCTCACAGGGAAGGGCCTGCCGGTGCTCCAAGACCGCACGATCAAATACAGGTCCGCACTGAAATACTTGTCGGGAGGATACTTTATAAAACAAGGTAACATTTTTTATGTTTACACACATATTTTGGTTTATCTTCCTTCTACAATCATTATCTGAAAATTAATGACTCAACTTCAAAGTCACCCTATAAGTACTGCTACACTAGTGGATCTATTGTTATATACCAGGTGTTTCAAATTCCACTCTCGCGCTTAGGAGCTCGGAAAAAGATACGAAGTGGGTTGAACGGAAGCATCGATGCGCGTTCAGATAACTAAGAAAATGTCAGTGAATGCTTTTGATAGTCGGTATGGAAAAGTCATCCAAGTGCCCTTTAATCATGCTTCACAAGAATTAGGGACTGTTCATCTGTTCTTGGTTCATGAAAACCAACTAAGGTTTCGCAAAGTCGGAGATTTGGAACCAGAATTGTGCAAAAATCCAAAATGTCGCCCTTAAGAAAAAATAGTGTTGATGATTGAGGACAAGAGACGAAACGACATAATTAAATTTTAATTCTGCCACCTTGTAGAGGAGAAAAAGCGGTAATGTTAATGTGCTTAAAAAAATTAAAACGATCTTAGGAAAATTCAGTTTTTCCGTCTCTCTCCGAAGATACTTGTAATTTCGAAACTTCCTTGTTACCCAAATGCACAACTGCTCACATTTTAGCTACTTCGTATCTCTTACCGTTTCCAATGGTGAGAGTAGAATTTGATACACCCGGTATATAGTCCCGTCATTCCATTGAGAACTCGCCACCCTGGTACGTTCGTCGCAAACTTCTTGATCCGTTTCCGGGATTTTTCCAGCATTACTATTACAGAAAGTTCGTTATAGAAGTAACTTATGTTACACGAAGTAACGATTCTGTCATATTTGTCCATATTGTTGATGGTATCTAATAGCTTCCGTTAATATCAGTTATGGTAGCATTTATTTCATCGTACTCACCAGAATATTGCAACAGCTTCACTCCGCTGGCGTATCCGTAATAGGTATAGGGAAACATATTTCGTTCAAATAATTCTTTCAAATAAATTCCCTTCATATTCCCTATATCAATCGTGTTCCCAAAAGGAGCCGCAGTCATCATGTCATTGAATGTTATGTCTGAAAAATTCGATTCAATTAATAACATAATACAACAACAACAACACCTTCCGCTGATGTGAAGCTATGAGAAAAGAACGGCAGGGATATTTGTCAAACGTACACGTCGCTTCACTTCGTATCGCTCGAGTGCGCGCGTTATCATTCCATTACGTAGAAAGGAACTCGGCGTAAAGTTTTGCCTCTCTTTTTTCCGCTTTGAATCAACTAGATTTGTGTCACTTAAAATATGCTCAAGATTATATCGTATGACCATAGTACTCGTATAACTATGAAAAATATGCTGATTGGTACATAAGTACTACTGGCAATCGATAGGTTTAAGAAATAGCAATATAGCGGAAACCATATATGTTATTATTGTGTACTAGGTATAATTAGTTGTAGTTATAGGTATATACTGTATACTCACTTCCAATTTCAATGGTAGTTCTTGCACCACCTGAATTCATAACAGCGATTGCCCCTTTTGTCCAAGAATACTCATCACTCTTTTTTGTGTACTGCAAATGCAAGCTAAATGGTGATATATGATAATTTGAGTGAAAATTACATTCTAACATTACGAGCATTTATAAATTGTAGGGAATTTTGGCATATTTATTAGCTTATGTATTTTGAAAAATCATTTTGTCCAACAGTTTGATAGCTCAGTGAAAATAGTGAAAACGCCATTTCATTTTCATATGACCTAACTAGTTCATACTTCGTAAAAGGAGAAGTCTATGATAAAAAACTATTCGTCGTTGTTCGTCAGAGCGGGCCGGTGAACATTTGCTCTTCGTTAAAAGTCTCGTCGGTCTGTTAGTCTGGCTACCCATACCAAACATGTTTAAGGGGAAAAGGAAAAGAAGGAGAGAGAGGAAGGAAGGAATAGCGCAAAGAAAAGAAGTAAATCATTTGAGTTAGCTTAAGCATTATTGGTCTGACTACTCGTAGAGTTTTGTAACTCGAAAACATAATTTTGATCGGTTTTGTGAACTGAAATAATTTTGGTTGGTCTGAAATTCACAATTTAATTTTGATCACAGTGTAAGGCGCGGCCCGGAACAACATAGGTTTGCTATGCGATTCGGCTTGATCATAACGCGGCTATGCCTGTTGTTTTACATAATCCCTTAGATATTGGATATCAAGATCTCTGTGAATTGTCTCATTCGTCACGTACCATGGCGCGTTGGTGATTGTGGGCAGGGCTCTGGTTTGAAGGACTTGTAGTCTCTGCATGTGCGTCTTGGCAAGAAAGCTTCAGGCCGCACATGCGTAGGTGTTTGCGGGTATTATGACCTTTTTATACAACCGAATCTTGTTGATCAAGCTTAATTTTGAATTTCTGCACAACAAAGGATAGAGCTGCCGAAATGTAATTTGGAATTTTGTTTTCAAAATATCAGTATGTTTCTGCCAGGTCTACCAATTGTCATTGATGACTACAAGGTATACGGGTTCCATTCACTGATATCTCTGATGGGGCACCGCGACGTTTTCTAGTACAATGTGTTTTTGAAGTATTAATTTTGATCAGCCACCGATCCGCCCACTCCAATACTTCTCCACCGCACTCTGCAGCCTGTCGTGAACCAGGTTACCAGAACACGACTGGGCTAGCAGTGCAGTGTCGACAGCATACAGATAGAGACTTCACAGTTGCTGGAGGAAAGCATGTTATGTATATAGAGTGAATATAGGATTGGTCCTAAGACCGAACCCTGAGGAACACTGGCTCTTACGGGCCGTGTTATTGACAAAACATTGTTAATTTGGATCCGAATCTTCCTTCCTTCTAGAAAAGATTTCAACAGTTTTCGTAGCCAAAATTTAAAGCCCTTTTGGATGAGCTTATAGAAGAGGCCCATCTGCCACTCCTTGTCAAATGCCTTTGATACATCTAAAAGCAAGATACCAGTACCTTTGTTGAGAGTGAACCTTCTGATTACATGCTCCACCAGTCTAACTGCCTGTAACTCCGTACTATGCTCAGACAGAAAGTCGAATTGCACGTCAGGAATCACATGATCATAGGAGAAATCTATGATTTGTTTATCTCTGAAATCTCAAGTCTGTAGTCAGGACGAAAGGATGAAAGTGTATATATACTACAAGTCGATTAGGGTTAAGCTGTCAGTTTGACAGTTGTTCACGTTTCACATGGAATTCGTGTTTTTTCTGCGAAAACATAGAAACGTGGGTGGTTTCATACCTGTACAGTCCGAGAATTCCAGAAAATAGTAGAAAATAGTGAATGTTTCTGTGAAATGCAAAAAGCGTTTTAAACTGAATAATTCATCGATAAATGTTAATATAGTTGCGAAAGGACATGTACCTCAACGTTGAGCCTTTACCTGAACAGTTGTGAGATAATCTCTTCATTCCACTAACTGTTTCTTTGAGTAGTTACTTCAAATCTAAGGTTAGTTAACAGGATTATACACATTTACAAGAACAGTGAAGAATGAAAAGTATTGGAGACAAACTGAATTTTTGATGGACACTGAAAAGGTCCAACGCAAACTTTAACTTTGAATCTCGATTGCTTCAATTTGGAATCTAAAAGTTCTTAAGCGGCAGCGGTGGCCTCTTCGGTATCCTGATCAGTCGCCATGCGTTGCGCGAGTTCGAATCTCGTCCCAAGAGAAAATTTTCTCTTGACTATGGATATCGTGATTGTCCATGTGGTAGACAGTCTCTGACTGTCGAACGCGGAGGAACCACCCGGCGGATCTCGTAGGCGGGGCCACAATGTGTGCATATTGCATGCAGACGTGGGAACACGCCAGAGTTCGTGTGGCGTCCCCCAATGTCCCCTGATTCCCCATATAGCACCACGGCACCCATGGGTATTTAGGCCTTAGTTTTAGTACAAAAAAAATGAAAGGTCTTTATTTTTACGTTTTAACCAGTAATTTTACGTTCTTATTCTATTGCCACAAGATTCGTGTGAGAAAGTTCAGTAAGCTCAAAAAAAAACCATGAACAACAAATTAATTGAACTACTTCCAAATCTTTTATTGGATAAATATAGTGACAATAATATAATAGCAGTAATTTGCACATTATGCTCAATTGGGTATTTGCTATTAGTCAAGAAACTGCTCAGGTCGTAACAACTAGAGTTGATTTCAAGCTGGGTGTCTCACTATTTCTGATAGGTATTCTACCATTGCTGCTGTTTGATAAAGATAATTTCACGTTTTTTTCACTTTCCAAAATCATGAATTAACTAGAACTATTCATGTGGTATAATAATAATATTTATTTACACGAACCTATGAAGTAGATAAATATTAAATCCTATAGAATGCCTGTGTATGGGTTATTACAATTATTTAAAACACTGTATGAATACATAACAAATATCTGAAATAATACAGTGTGCTGTTAAAAATAATTTAGGGACATAGATGCCCATATTTTTTTACCTTTTCCAAAAATTTCAAAGGTAACATCCTGTATATTTTTATTCCTTTTCCCCTTTTTAAAAGTTTTTTTTTCCGAGGTAAGGTTTGTGGGAGCAATGGTTTTTGAGTTACAGTTAACCTTTTTGCAAATCAGATACCAAGGTAAATGAGAAATATTAGAATACTTATCAGAAATAGTAGTTAGTAACGAATTTGTGTATTTTCATTATGAGTTATATATATATATATATATATATATATATATATATATATATATAAGTTCACTCTTATAACTTGACCTCGAGCTTTCGATGGTCTATGCCATCATCGTCTGGAGCTGAAAAGCAATTTTTGAAAAAACAATAAGCAACTAGGAGGAAAAAAATATAATTACTTACTAAGTCGGCGAGGCTGTTGCTGAAATTGTTCCTAAGCGGCCGTGAAAGGGAACACAGTCGACGAACAAAATATGAAAATAACTCTAAACTTCATCGGACAACAAAACACACTCCCCACTGTAGAGTGTCAGTCGGACGGCACGTGTTGGATAATGGTTATCAGGAAAAATGAAATGTCGAAGGGTTTTTCAGTAATTGATAGATTTTCAAGCCCTTCCAAATCAGTCAGTGGTTAGTATTTAAAAAACATAGCTATGGTTTGCCACTTTTCAAGAAAATTAAAATAATTCCATCCTAATCGAACCTCATCGGTCCAGTTTTTTGTTCGTCGACTATGTGTTTCCTTTCACGGTCATTTAAGAACAATTTCAGCAACAATCCGACATTGTAAGTAATTATATTTTTTCCTCCTAATTGCTAATTGTTGCTATTTTTTCATAAATTGTTTTTTAGCTCCACACGATGATGGTATAGACCATCGAAAGCTCGAGTTCAAGTTATAAGAGTCTACTTTGCCTTCTACCCAAATGAATTCAAGGATATATATATATATATATATATATATATATATGTCAATAACTTGAAAATAGAATCCCATAGTATGATTAGAAATTGCTTCGTTTGGAAGGGTCTATCTGAATCTGTAATAAAATGTAGGTTCCTCCAGTCAAAAAAATTGTGTTTGGATCACCACGTAATTATGAATCACCCTGCACAAATAAAAAAATATTTTCCAAGTAAGTAGCATACTGTTGGCAACCATTTATGTGATTCACTTTTTTAGATTGAGTAATAACGGAGTTATTTACCGAGCCAACTCTAAAAACTGTAAAGGCTTAGCTATATAATGAACACCTTTTGATCAATCTTTGCTTTCAGAAAACTAACTTACCGCCCAAACCATTGAATCAGCAAAGAAGTTACCAAGTGTACATTCTGCATGGTAGCACGCTGACTTATCCAATGTCACCAACGTGGAACCAATAACTTTTGATCCTTGATCATCAATCATTTTCTTCCATGGCATTATGTCTTGGTTGATTTTTTCATCTGATATTGTAAAAGTAATATATTGAAAAAATGAAGGACAAGAGGAATAGTTTACTGGATTGCAAATCACTGATTGAATATTAGTATTGCAAACATTTTATTACCTTGAGGTAACTCTGGACTAAGGAATATTGGGGCACCGTCGTAGCCCGCAATTTCCCCATTTCCATCTAAATAAACTGTGATGTTTCCAATGTATTTAGAAAATGCTGAGGCTTGAGTAATAAGCACGTCGTGTCCGTTTGGTTTCTGTACAATTGTTGGATAGGGTCCCTTAGCTGTTTCAGGTCCAGGTGGGTTATCTGCAGTATAATAAAAATTTTATACAGTAAACGTTACAAGCATTGCTAGTACTTATTTATATTTCAAACACAAAATAAGTCGTACGACAACTGCAACACTTATGACAGATTTTTACAAAGAATTGTTTTTAAAACAGCCCAAAGCGCTTGCATTCTTTTAACCCCCATCTTTCATTTATGCTACTTTCTTTTCTGTATCTTAAAAAGTAAATGAATTAATATTACACTTACCTCTTGTGAGGCTATGTTTTCTTTTTGAATTGTAGGAAATTTTAGGCTCTTATAACAGATGATGTAAATCAAAAGCGTAAACAATTTAATGCAAATAGATATATGTAAAAGAACCTCAAAATAGAGCACCGACACGGAACAGTGGAAAACTATGACAATCAAGGAGGCCATAAAGGCGTCCTACAATTTATTGTCTTTTCTCTCCTTCAGAAAGGCTGGAGTATTTCTAGATTTGCACTGTTCCGTGTCAGCGTCAGCGCTCTCCTATTGGAAAGTTATGTTTTCTTTTTGAATAGTAGGAAATTTCAGTCTGATATACCACATGATATAAATCAAAAGCATGCACATTTTGATACAAATAGATATTTGTGACATAACCTCAAAATAGAGCTCTGACACGGAACCGTAGAAAACTATAATAATAATAATAATAATAATAATAATTTTTATTGGAATGTTTATACATAAAAATATAAAAACGACAACATTCCAAAAGGAAAGAGGATTTTCAGGGCCATTTTTCACCTCCCCCTAAAAAGTTAACTTCATGAGCGTTTTTTAACATCAACAGAATGATTAGTATTCACAACAAATATTATGCACAACACAGTATATAATATGATATAGTCTGAGTGTTAATGGAGGATAGTGTAGCAAGCGTCATAAATTTAATTTGTGGATTCAAATCTTTGCAGCTGTAGTAGCACTTTTTCCATCTCATTTCTGAAGTTTTGGATGGAAGCTGCTTCAAAAAGTTCTAAATGATCGTTTAGTAGATATGGTGCCGTGTAAGTAAAACATTTTTTGAATTTAGATGTTGTATGAACTGGAATATTGAAGTATTCATTGTTGCGTAAGGAAACTTTACGGAGTGAACATCTCTTCTCCAAAGCAATAAACAGATATCTGGGTAATTTATATTTTAAAACTTTATATAGTAGAGTTCCATACTGAAGTAATACACGATACTTGAATTTTAAAAGATTTTCTCTCACATAATATCCAGTAATATGTTCTTGTATATGTATATCTTTGAAACAGAATCTCATGCAGCAGTTTTGTAATACTTGAATTTTGTGCTTCATTTCTTCCGTCAGAAAATTATAATATACTGTTGCGCCATAGTCTAGGTGAGTGAGGATTAGTGCATTGGTAAGCCTTAATTTTATATCGCTGGTTAAAACATGTTTGTATCTCCAAAGTGACTTGTATTTACAATAGCATACTCGAAGTTTATTAATGACATGGTTCTCAAAACTTAAATTTGTGTCCAACAAAATGCCTAAATTCTTAGTCTCCTCTACAATTTCAACAGATGTATCACCTAAAACAATGGATGTACTAATCAATCCTTTAAATTTTGTAATATTTAACCTAGAACCAATGCAGCAAGCTTTAGTTTCTGTGGGATTCAGTTTCAAACAATAATTTTTGGAATAGTTTGCAATCATTTCTAGATTTACATTTAACTCTTTAATCAATAAATTAACTTCATTTGGCTTGCAAGCTTTATACATTTATACATCATCAGCATATAGATGTATATTCCAATCATGTGATATAAAATTTAATAAATCAGATGTATAGAATGTAAATAGTAATGAACCTAATACACTTCCTTGCGGAACACCAGAAACTACATTTTGTAAAGTGGAAATTTTGTTGAATATCTTTGTGCATTGGGATCTGCCAGTCAGGTAGTTGTTGAACCACAGTAAGGCATTACTGGACAAACCATAATATTGTAGCTTTTTACATAATACTTCATGGTTGACCATGTCAAATGCCTTACTGTAATCTAACATCACCAATACGGTCACCATACCATCATCCATGAACTTGACTATATCGCTAGTTACTTTTATAAGCGCTGTGGATGTGTTATGTAGTTTTCTGAATCCCGACTGTGTATCGGGAAGGACTTCATTTACTTCTAGATGGTCACGAAGTTGGTCAGCTACCAGTTTCTCTGCAAGCTTGGACATCACAGGTAAGGTGCTTACTGGTCTCAAATCCTTCATCTGTATAGCGTTATTGACTTGTGCTAGTGGCGTTACAACTGATTTCTTCCATAATGTTGGTACTTCTCCTGTGTTCAGGGATTGATTTATGATATCCGTTATTTCACTTTTGCAAAAAGAAAATACATTTTTCAGCATGCTTGTGGTAATACCATCTATACCAGCAGCATTTGATTTCACTTCTCTCAGTTTCTTTTCAATATCATCAGATGTAACTAGATGGAACGAACTTTTAGTTACGAGTGACTTTTTCTGCCCAGATAAAGCGTTAAGAAATAACTCATCAGGTTGAATGGTTGGCAACGAGTTCACAAAGTGATTGTTGATGGCTTCTGCGTCTTCAATGCCCTGAGATATCTGATTAGTGGATTTTTGATGAATATTCCATTTAGCGAAGTCTTTCCATAGTTGCTTGGGATTATTCCTGTTCTTATTTAGTTGATATTTTATATAAGCTGTTTTTTCATTCCTTAAAGCCACACCTGAGTAATTTCTAAGATCGTTATAAAACAATCGATCTGTTTCAGATCTAGTTCTTTTAAATTTATTGTAAGCTTTTCGTTTTAAATTTATTATACATTTCATTGTATAGGTTACGTATGGCCTGTAGAACTTATGAGGTGTAATTCTTTTCATCGGAGCATGTATGTCATACAGCAAGGTAATGTTCTCAGTAAGACTTTGTAGATTATTTATATCAGGCCAGTTCACAGCAGTTGCATCCTTAGCAAATTCATCATAATTAAAGTGGGAAAAGTCACGACAATAAAATGTTGTAGGAGTGTATTCTGGAATTTCAATCTTCAATTCACAGAAGCATAACCTGTGATCAGTTATATATCCTATGAAAATCAAGGAGGCCATAAAGGCGTCCTACATTAATTTGTAGGAACGACTGACGATACGGCCCAAAGAGACTTGGGATGGTTGAGTTACACCTATTAACTTACACTCATAAGCTCTTGTTTACTTCGATTCTAAAGCACAAGCTAATCCCTCTAAATTTTGTCCACTCAAGAGACACAGTCACAGTGCCTCTTCACAAAACCTCATTCTTTCATAAGTGCTTCACATACAACGCGGTTATACTTTATACTGAAGTACCTGTGCATTAAAATCTCTAAATTACAATGTATTCAAAAGACAAATTAAATAATTCATTTTAGAAAAGTATTCATCAGCATAGTTTGATGTCTCTGTTTTAATTTTTGGCGTACAATATGATAAACTATATTACTTTTATATGTTTATAATTATTTTATTTCATGTAGTTTTTAAGGGTTAACTTGCAAAATAGCTTCAAGCTAGACTTCGTCCTTAATAAAAGATCTTTATTATTATTAATATTATTATTATTTTTATAGCCGTAGGGCTTTGTTACTTCCGTTAATCGGGGTGTTCTGGCTTAACACGGACGTTTCAAGCATCAAAGGGATAAGCCTCAATAGTGACCTCACCAGGTATTTGCATTTCCCATAAATTTCTTACTATGCGGGCAGTTGCCAGCAAAACTCCTTTCTGTATGATTTTGTAAATGTTTTCACTCAGTTCCAGCGCTTTGATGTTTTCTAGCAGGCTTTTTGGTATCACCCCTGTAGATGACATTATTATTGGTATTGTCTCCACGTACTTCATTTTCTACTGGCGTTTAATTTGAAATTCTAGCTCCCTGTATTTTGCAACTTTCTCATTATGTTTGTATGTTAAATTGTTACTATTAGGTATGGCCACATCAATCAGTGTTACTTTCTGGGCGCCCTTGTCGACAATGATTATGTCAGGTCTGTTTTGTTTTATGTATTGGTCCGTAAGCACAGTGCGATCCCAGTATAGTTTATACTGGTCGTTCTCGAGGTTTTTATTTATAGTACTGTAGCTTGCATTCGATCAGTTTGAATTTGTATTCCAACTCCTGGTGAATGATTTTGGCAGCTATGTCGTGGCGCTCTCTATAGTCCGTTGGAGCGAATGCTTGGCATCCACCAGTTACGTGCTGTATTGTTTCGGAGTCCTGACAGCCGTACCTGCATTTATCAGACTGTTGCAAGTTCTTAAGTATGAACCTCTTGTAATTGTTGGTAGGGATAACCTGGTCCTGTATAGCTACAAGGAATCCCTCAGTCTCAGGGAACATTTGGCCTGAGCTAAGCCAATAGTTTGACGCTTTCTTGTCAACGTTTTCTTGGCTAATCTCGTTTGCATGTCTCCCATGTAGAGGTTTTTCAATCCATCGCTGTAGCTTCTGTTCGTTGGTTTGGTGACTAGGTTGGTCATCTCGTCTACTAAGGTGTAAGGGCGTTGTGTCATCTATTGAGCATATGATGCGATGCAGCTCAGAGATCTCGGCCTTCTCAAAGAAGTAGGATCGCAAGGCGAGTACCTGTTTAGCTAGCTGCTTGCTGATGTCCTTAAGACCTCTTCCTCCTAACTGTCGGGGTAAGGTTGTGCGCTCTATTGCACTGCGAGGATGGTGCGCTCCTTTTTTTGTTAGCATAGCATTATTATTATTATTACTATTATTATTATTACTACTATTATTATTACTACTATTATTATTATTACTATTATTATTACTATTATTATTATTGTTATTTATGCGAGTTTGCCAACTCCCTCTCGGTAACTCTAGAGCGGAAAACGCGCATTCTTGAGCGAATATTCAAACTGAGGACGGTCATACTCGTAATTCGCAGTACTTTTGTAAATAGCAAACTTGCCAATTGTAGACGCGAATGTCTTAGTGATACATTTTTTATAGCTTTCCAGCTGCATCAACTAAAAGAGCAATCGGTACTACCATATTGTAAACGAAAAACAACAGAAACAACCTTCCCTCCTCTTTCTCGCCGAAAATCGGATCGTTTATGTATCCATTTTAAACTCTATGATCTGTCTGTTGGATGCAATCTTCCAAACAGCTATGCGTATTATATTCCGTATTGTGCTGACGACGCCCGTCATACACAGAGCGTGGCGTCACTAGCAAAATACGCTATGAAATCGTGAGCAAATAATTATAGACACCCCCTTTTGTGGTCGGGGATTCAAACTGCACTAACCTCCCGTATATAAGAAAGTATGTGAATGGCCACCAACAATCAGACTAATTTTGTCCGATGCATTCTTAGCTATCAGCCTGTCATGGTCATATCCGGAATGCGAGAGGACTATCACAGTGAACACTCCTTCCTCTTCCACTAATCTTTCGGCTTCTGCATTCACGCTGGCAGATTCTGGAAGGAATCTTAATTTTTCTGTATTGGATATTTCCTATAAGAATGCATCATATCACTTGAAATGGTTCTAGATTGTAGATGCTCTTGGTGAAATGTGTGATCGAATAGTACAATTTTTTTTACAGGATAAGCAAAACGCGTTACGTTCTGTGTTGCTATTGTTCGGTCTTATTTTATTTTATTTTTATTTTATTTTATTCATTACAACACCCTACAGTAAATACCAATTACAGGGTGAGGAAACACAGAACATAACACAGATATAAAAGACAATAATAAGTAATAGACTACAAAGTGTAAAAGATACATGCTGGTTACTTAATGGTATTTTTTATGTCTGCAATTCTGCAGTTAAATATATCAATCCTGTTACTTGCAGAATTGTAATTCCTACACATCACATGTAAAGGGGAATAGTGTAAATAATTTGTCCGTGCCGCAGGTAGATAAAACGTAACGTTTTGTCGGGATGTCAGCCTAGGTACGTTAAATGATAACTGACCCAAGAAAGATAAAATATCACTAGCATTATTGATCAATTTAAACAGAAAAATTACTGACTGGCAAGTGCGCCTTGCTTCAAGACTGCTGATTAGATGTTTTTCAAGTAAGGAATCATGAGGTATACCTATGGGCGGGTAAACGCCATCCACTTTCAGTGACAAATATTTTAAGAAACGTCTTTGAACACATTCAAGCCTAATTATATGAATGATATGAAGCGGATTCCAAATTAACAATGCATAATCAAGCTTCGATCTAACATATGCATATTACAGCAACTTCAAGGTGGTACTCTGAGTGAAGTCACGGCAGTATCTTATAATAAAGCCGTACATGCGGTTTGCCTCGGAAATTTTGCTGTCAATGTGTTTGACGAATGTTAGTTGGGAGTCACATGTCACGCCTAAGTCACATAAAGTTGAAGTCCTCTGAATAGAGCTACCTGACAGGGTATAGTCAAATAACAGAGGATTTTTCTTCAAAGTGTAAGACGTTACGTAACAGTTATTGATGTTTAATTACATATTGTTTTTTGAGCACCAAGCATCCAACCTGACCAGATTTTCTAAAAGTTGATCACAGTCAGATTCATCAACTACACGACAAAACATCTTCAGATCATCAGCGTAAAGTAAACAATTCTCGCCAACAGCATTAACTATGTCATTCGGTTACTGCCTTGTGGCACTCCGGAATTGGCTACCTACTTCGACGATCTGATGCCATTAAACATCACAAATTGATTTCTTCCAGTGAGGTAGGACTTAAATAGTTGTATTAAAGGATCGGATAATCCATGAGATTTCAGCTTATGCAATAGCATCCTGTGATCAACTCTGTCGAAAGCCTTGGAGAAGTCTGTGTAGACCACATCTGTTTGTAATCCTCTGTCAATGTTTTCTGCTATGGTCTGTGTGAAGTTCATCAGATTTGATACTGTTGAGCGCCCTTTCATGAAACCATGTTGCTGAACACATATTTTAGACGGGTAGAAATTTACAGCACGCTGTATCTTGGAGATGGGAGATATAGGGACATATATTGATAGCTTTGGAGGACTTAGAGGAAAGCGCCCGCCCATTGGGCGTTTTTTTTTTCAATAAAATAATAGTATTGCTGTATACTGGTTCGAAAATTACATTACTAAACATAAATCGTGTATGCTGAATTCAGTGGGAAAGCTACTAGGTCGAGGAAATAACGGACTGTATCCCGTACAGTATGAAGTAGTACAGCAAGCAGAAGTAGTAGTAGTTTTGCGTTATGGTTGTCTTTGACGTAAAGAATGCCTCCAGCAAGGCACAAACACAAGAAATTCATTTATTTTCTCGTGAAGCTAGGCACTCTAGCTATTTACTGAACATGTTAAAGAACTACTTTAAAGAGAGGACATTGATGGTAGAAGTTCAGGCGATGGAAAGAGAGAGAGAGAGAGATCAGAGGGAGAGGTACTCGAGAAATGCTTTTGACATATGGAATCATGATAGCTTATGGATGGAAGAAAATGGCTTGAAATTAGCTCCTGCGAAGACAGAAGTAGTTTTACTTTCTTGCAGGCAGGAACACTAGCTGTTAAGGTTGAGAACGCCGAGATTCGAAACAAAATTGGAAATAAGTATGTGGCTCGGCAAAGATCTAAAAAAGTCTGAACTCATAAGTGGTGCCTTTGATAAAGTAAATAAAGTCGTTGGATCTCTGATGCGGTTAATGCCATATGATGGATACCACCAGTAGCAAGAGGCATAGTATTTTGGCAGAGGTAGCTAACGCGATCATACGGAACCCGCATCAGTAACAAGGCCTTGAGGAAAAAGAGATATAGGCAGTTAATACTCAGAAGCCAGTGAAAAGTAGTACTGCGAGTAATATGCGCTTGCAGAATGGTCTCGACCGATGCGCTGCTGGTGGGGGCTGGCATCCCACCAATTAATTTGCTGGCCAAAGAGAGGTGCGTGCTCCATGGGAAGTGCACCGAAGCTAGAAGCGATGAAAAGGACGCGCTTTTTGTCACATAGTAGGAGAGATGAGATGCAGCTGGCCAGGGTGCATGGACTAGAAGCCTGATTCCAAATATTAAAACTTGGATGGGCAAGGGAGCAGTGGGGGGAAGTTTACTACATAGTTCCTCACAGAAGATGGTTGTTTTGACAGCTACCTAAAGAGGGTAGGAAAGAGAGAGAGAGACAGTACACGAATTGCGTTTGTTGCAACGTACAGGAAGATATTCATCATCATCTACTCGAATGTAGTAGATGGGTTGACTACCAGAGACAGATGTAATTGACGCTCGGCGAGAGGCTTACAGCTGACAATTTTGCCGCGCATGTAAGCGAGGGTAGATGGGTTAATAATCATCCGTTAATAAGGGGATGATGCTGTTCAAGGTGCACGAGTACTAGAATAGGAACCAACAGTAGGTGTACGAGTACATATTGTAAATAGGTACGAATAATAATAATAATTTATTCACAGCATTTGTAGAATTTGCGAATGTACAAGCGAATAAATTGGAAAAATATAAAACGACAAAAGGATGTATGTTGTATACCTATGTATGATGGAGAGTAAATGACAGATAGCTGTGATATGAAAACCCAGCGCAACGCTACCCACTATGAAGAAAAGCTGCAAGCATTGTCGTAGTTGGATGTGTGGCGAACAACTGAGGGATAGTGAGTATGCCGCTTCTAGAGAATTCCACCTGTCCTTGAAAAATCCTATCATTTCCCTTCATTTAACTTATTTATTTTCATTAGTTTAGATAAATACATAAACTTTGTGTGACATTTCTCCATATGTCTCGGAGGTCAAACCAGTATGCATTTAGTTTGCAACCTGATATAAGGCACGGTACATAAATATGTATAACACTTAAAATTTAAGCTTTTGACTAAATGCAAATAAGTATAACAGACCATACACATATTTGTAACCACAAAAAGCGACAATTATTTCCAGTAAAAGTATACAGCGTGTTCCAATTAAGAAAAAAAGCAACTCTACTAGGTAGCAATTTTTTGAGAGTATACAATAAGACCGTGTAAAAAATTTAATATTAGACCATATAACTTAAGTGAATATATTTTTTGGTCATACCAAAAAGTTATGAGGAGGACAATTTGTAGCGGGACATTTCTTATTTTTTAATAAAATTGATCATGCAATGTCGATATACTCGTACTAGTACTGAAGGTTCTGATTTTTTTTTTGACATTCGTACTATTAATTCGGATTTTTTTGCTTTTTTTGCTACAAAGGATATACTTACATCGCAGCTCTCAACTATAACTCCGACTATCCCAATTTTTTCCCCATTCCTTTTAATAACAGTGCTTTTGGAATAGATTCCTTGCATCCTAGGTTCCAAGCTATCGTCTATGTTTGACACGATTACAGGATGTTTTAATGCCTTAATGTAAGGTACCACACCATCTATTCCATCGTCAAATTCATGGTTACCTAAAACCTACGATAATTAACTAAAATAACTGTAGCCGATAGTAAGATATAGTATGCACTCCATTTATCCTTTTATTTTTATTATATAGAAGCAGCCGCGCAGACAGAAGCCTAAATGCCGGAACACCGCGGCCGCTATGACGATCCCAAAGAAATTTTGTTAATACGATTTTAGAACTGGGAAAAGCTTCCTCTTGTAGATTGTGCCACAATCTCGAACCCTCGAGACAAAGGACCGGTCGTATCGGCCAGTTTCTGGATGTACGAAGTTCGATAAGGTTAGAATGGGATGCCAAAGTCAGCTGGGTCTGTCAGCCGCCCATCTGCAAAGCTTTTCTGGGAGGCAATAGGATGGAAGTTTGCTTAAGAAAGCACCGTGCCACAGCTGATCTAACGCTTTCGTGATGTCAAGAGCAACGACATGAGCCTCACCAAAATACTGGATGAGTTCACTTCACAATTGAGTGACGTAAGCTAGGAGGTCCCTTGTGGATCGTTGATGCCGGAAACCATATTCCCTGTCGATAATCAAGCTGTGACGTTCGAGGTAGGCCATAAGCTCGCGATTTATGCACCTCTCCATCACCGTACTTATAACAGAAGGCAGGGGCTATAGGTATGTAGTTGTAAGGGTCGGTCTTAGATCCTTTTTTTGGGAAGGTGTCGGATTCATAAAATATCTGGAAGAGACGCGAAAGAACTGGAGCAATCTCCGCTGCACACCTCTTCAGTACAATCGCAGGGATCAAGTCCGGAAGAAGAAGCTTTTTTGATGTCAAGCGACAAGAGCACTTGTTTTTTATACATAATGTTTCAGAAAAAATGGAAGATTTAACACTTAAAAGTATGAATATAGTTCATACAAATATAGGCTTGTCCATCTTTATAAAGAGACATATAGAAAAAATCACAACTGATTTTCGCATAAATAGTGTCGTTTTCTCAAAACCACATTCATCTGCTTGGAAAGTGTCTTTTGGAGCCCTTCATTAAAAAATCCAACTCTATTACTGTGTTTTAATAACGATAATAAGATTGTATGGTTTAGTAAATCAATTATCTCGAAAGTGGGGCAGATAAAAGAAAAACGCTAATCCTGTGGAGTTTTAAGTATAATCAAACTGGGTTTGAGGTACATATACTATTTTTTGCAAAAACCAGTGGCGTACAGTTCTTTCGCTAGAGATTGAGACTTGCCGGCATGCATCTCAATGTGCTTTGGAAAAATGTATCAACGACAGACAAGCTTACACCCCCACATTTTTCCGGTCTATGAAGTGTTTTTCATATTATTTCGATTTGATTCTGCCCTTCAATTTTACTGGAAACACCCTGTATTTTAGTAGGCAAGTGCCACCTGCTTCAAAGATCACTGTGTTTCTCCTTTGTTCTGCGATAATTTTATGTACCGAACTGATGATTCCTAACAAGAATGAAGCCGTATACAGTTGATGGTTAGACGGAGAGAAGCATATTTTTGTGTGGCTTTTTGGTAGTTTTACAAAAATCAATAACTAACCTGCGCGTCAATCGGAAGTTTGTTCATGAATTCCTGAGTCACGTTCCATTTTCCTAAGCTGTAATACATCGTGCCCTGGAAGTCGTCACCAGCATTTAGCAGAACGGCACCCGGGTTTTCTTTCAACATCTGCATTATCGTGGCGTACATGCGCGAAAAGCCTCCAATGCATTGAGTATTTCCTGGCTTGCAGGCGGCACCATTCATATTCGTCTGCTCAAACCTGCAGAAAGGTTACAATCAATCAAACCAAAGTGGACTTATGGAAGCTGAAGCACCATCTTATTATGTCGTTTTGTTCTAAAATCTTATTAATCTTCCCCCCAATTCTCAAAAACAGCGAAAGCATAGTTTGAGCATTTTTCCTCACTTACAATTAGAATTTGAGTACCCACTCAATCGAGCTCACAATATTATAATTTGTGGTGAACGGAATAAGAATTTTCTATGCCAAAGTCTTTGAACAGTCCAGTGAAGGTAGGGTTGTGATTAAAGAAGGGTAAAAATGAAAACAAATTCAAGATAATTTGTTGGCTTTAGTAAAAGTCACAAACATTAGGTACAAGTTTGAAACCTTTTCAACTTATATGAATACAATGCGATCTTGTCCATTGCGTATTTTGAATGTATTTGTTTCATTTTGATCATAGATACATTTGGGAGCTTAATTTCTTTCTAAAAGGGAATAAATTAATTGGAGCACGATCAGTTGAAGAATACAGAATACTTAGTAAATATTAGTGCAGTGTCTGTCAATAACTCGGAAAGTAGAATACATTAACATTCTATTGGCTTTCTGAACTGTATTTTATCGAAGCAAATTTTAATGACGTTTCGGTTGCCTTGGCACTCTCGGTACCCTTATGGTAGCTGTACTTATTAGACTGCTTTATGAATGAAATATTGTTTTGTGGTGAGTACCTGTACATCAAGAAACAAGCACGGATGCTCCTAAATTTTGAATAAAAGCACAGAGAATATAACCTCATAACTAAAGTTACATATTAGTTTGCACTATTGTTATGAACATGAGAACGATTTGAGTTTATGAACCCGATGAGAAAGGATTCTGAGTGTAGGGGGGCTGGATAGCTGAGTAGTTAGCGCGTGGAGCTACTAATAGGTCTCTAATCTACCTTTCGGAAAGTTAATTGTATTGTGTGTTGTCCATATCACCTGATAGGAACAAAATCAACATACAGTAGCGGACAAACGTTTGAAAACAAATATTAACATTATTATGAACTATTTTTCATACACCTAAATTAAAATTGCAAAGGAAAAGGTAATATAAATATTAGAGTCTACCTTTGTATCCCGTACTAATACAAGGTTTATCTTATCAATATTCAAATTTTTTGAGAATAAAAACACCTGTTTTATTTAAATACCACAGTTCTTGTAGGGACAAAGTGTGGAAACATTCCAGTTTTGCCGTATTTATTCGTTCTGCGATGCTCTGATATTGCGTGCGGTAAATATTAACATCAGTGAGAATAGCAAAAGTAAAAGAATTTTCAAAAGATGCAAGAGACAAAGTAATTGAATTATTTAGAAGTGGTGTCAGAAATGTTGACATTTCTCAAAGATTAAAAATGAACAAAGGGACAATTTCGAAAATTATTAGTAAATATCAAGAATACGGATCAACAGCAACGCGGCTCAGGTGCGGAAGACCGAAAAAAAACCGATTATGTTTTGGATCGCTACATTAAACGTTTGTCCCAGGAAGATCCTCAAAAGCTATCCACACAGATTTTCAAAAGAATCGTAGAAGAGGGTGCCGAGAATTTTTCTGTCAGAACAGTGCAGAGATGCTTGGGGGATTTTGGGCTTTTTGGTAGGCCTCCAGTGCAAAAGCCTCTCAGTTCCAAAAGAAATCGTATTGCTCGGCTTGAATTTGCCAGCTCATCTACCTTGGACAAAACAACAATGGAATACAGTTTTATGAAGCGAAGAAATGAAATTCAACTTGTTTGGATCTGACGGTACGGCATAATATGGAGATATCCAATGCGAAACCATCATGGTTTTGGGCTGTTTTTCTAGTGCTGGAACGGGTCCAATTGTTAAAATTGTTGGGAAAATGGATGAAGAACTTTACAGAGATATACTTAGCGAACACATGATCCCTACAGTGGATATTCCAGCAAGATAATTACCCCAAGCATACTTCAAAATTCGTAAAGGACTGGTTAAGACTAATTAATGTTAATGTTCTTACATGACCTTCGCAATCCCCTGACCTAAACCCTATAGAACATCTCTGGGAGCATGTTAAAAGACAACTGACAAGAAAAACATTTAAAAATAGGAAATATTTATCTGATTATGTAAAAAATATTTGGCAAAATATCCCAACAGACGTCTGTAAAAAATTGGTGACTTCTATGAGCAGCAGATGTCAGGCAGTGTTGAATGGTAAAGGCTATGCTACCAAATATTAGTTGAACAGTATTTTTAAAATGTTTTTGTAGAATTATTGTAATTAATTTTCTAATAAAAAATATGTTTCTATACTTTTGTCGTCTCATTTTTGGTCATAAAATAATATGAAGGTATTTTAATTCTAGTCTGTAGTACCACAGCAAACAGAAATTGTCATTTGTATCCTCAAGACTATAAGCATACTATATGAGACAAAAATAGTTCTTAATAATAAAGAATAAAACATTAGCGCACTTTTTAAGAATTACTAAGAATGTTTCCTAACCTTTGTCCGCTACTGTAGGTACATTGCATCGCTGGGACTGGCTTAGTCATTAATCAGTTCCTAGACCTAGCCCGAATTCGTTGGTTCCTAGTAGTAAATGGATTGTGGGTCGTCAAAAAGCGTCAAGGGCGGTCTAGTTGCCAGGCTTCCCCTCCCCATCACTACTACTAACTACTACTTCTACTACTACTAACCCTGGTTGTAAAATTTGGCAGTCTATATGGAGAAGACTCGAGTCTTGCATTATAGTTAGAGGCAATAATCTCGAACGGTTTTTGTGGATCGGCAGCCTGTACACGTATACCTATAATTTTTGCTGACAAATAGTGTTTTCAAAAAGAGTAGACTTGAATCTTCAAAAACAATCGGTTTTTCGAAAACCGCCATAGAACAAAATAGTCTTGGAATAGTCCAAAGGATCGGCCATTATCTTTTGATTACGCTTATTAAACACCGTAGATTTACAACCGCCTGTTCTCAAGATAACAACAAAAATCGTAACGTAAACGTAGCTAAAAATGTTCCACTCCCATCTAATGCATTACTTCCAGAAACATATTTTTGAGGTCAAAGTTATCTTTGTTTGGTTTTGAGTTAAATTTTATAAATCAGGCTTAATCCTCCATTATATTGTCACTCGACCATGAGAATCATTAAGTAAACTTGTTTACAGACATTCTCTAAAATATGCATTCAAGATTACTATACCTCCAAGCAGGTTTTGATAATTGAAGAATACGTTGTTGTTGGCACTTTATTCAAATTCAGAGATTATAGAAGTTCTGTGGTAACACTAAACGTTCGATTTTTATTTACCCAATGGTTGTACCAGAGAAACCAATTGCATGTTGCTCACTACGAAATGCAAGCTCGCTTGGATTGAAATAAAAAGTTTAATAAAACCGTGTGAAATATTATAATTAAGAGACAAATAATGTATCTAACTAAACATGTCTTATTTCGATAATATATGTCTAATTTGATACATCTTTCGTGTATTCAAATATCGTTTTTATGAACTTGTCTGTATTCATATTTATTTATTATAGTCCATTTTGAACGTTGGTGAATGGTTTTATTGGATCAGTTGAAATATGCATCCGACACAACAACTGGAATATATCCTCATTATAATTATTTTCCATTTTGCAAAAATCACACATCGATTATCAAACTTATTATCAGATACGTTACCTATCACTTGGTACTTATTGTAAACAGATTGAACTATTTATTGTATCGTATTTATAGAGTATCAAAAAGACGAACTTATGTATGGATTGAGACCCAAGTGACGGTTTTCGATATAAAAAAACCCCACGTATAAATGTAAGACTGTAGCAGTCGGCAAATTATTACGTGTATCAAAGCAAAAATGTGAAAATTAAGCGCTTATCTCTAAAATCATTCATGAACCTTTTCTAGTGGATGGGGATTATGATATAAAAAAATATCTGCATTTTTATTGTACAAATGCCATGCAAACCTATACAAATAAACTGTAACGTTAGTATGATTTAAAAAAATCTGTATTTGTGTACAGGAATTACGCTCGTAAAAATATAAAGTAATAAGTATCTCACTTATCTTAGTTTGATAGTACCAGATTATACATCTTCCGACTATTGTGTCCGGTCCCTATGAAAAGCTTTGCGAACAGAGAAGTTCTCCAGTACCATTATAACATAATTAGAATACTTTTTTCGCAATGCAGTTACTAAAATCCAATATTTCTTGAGCCCTAATTATTCTTTAACATGTACCTTTTAGGAGACCATAGATTGGTTCTATAGATCTATGCGTGATACCTGAGGTATTCTATGTCCATTTTATGATTCAGGAAGCTGTCCAAAATCAAATTAAAAGTCAAAAAAGATATTGTATCCTAGATTATCGTTATCTACTTTTATTTAAAGGTATCGCTTTATAATGAAGGTTCAATTTATTATGTTATTCTAAAAATGTGTTACCTGGCATGGAAATCATTCAGATGCACCACAGACAACTCGAAAAGGTCATTGTTCCTGATCACTGAAGCGCGTGTTGAACACACTAAAAGGAAAATAAAATTCAAATTGAACAGAATGGACATGTTGGCCGAAGGTGATGATGAGAGCTGTGAACGCTTCCGTCAGAATACTCGCCCTGGTTTTATTAAATATCATTATAAAATTATCTTAATGAGATAATATATAGATAATATTATAGTAGTATCTAGAGGAATCACATAATGTACAGGGTTTCCAGCAAATGCGATTATTTAACGGGTGATATAATAATAATAATAAATCGTCTTTATTAGAAGGCGAGGTTAGCATAATGCCCCAAAAAAACTGAAACAGAATACTAAAACATAAAAACATTTAATAAGTCACAACAACTAAGTGAAAATGCAGATGTATAAAAATATGTTGTATTTGAAATATAAGTAAGTGAACGATATTCAATATTTCAGGTTTTAAAAGTAAACGTTGTAACAGTTATACAAACAAAATAATGTTATGTTATATTGGAATATTTGTATGATTTTATCAACTGAATTATAATTTCTATTAAAAACAAATTTATTCATATGTCTTTTAAATCCGCCATATGATAGTAAATTTGTGACTCGAGCTATATCATTGTAAAAAATAACTGCGTTGTAGGTGAAGCATTTACGAAAGAATGATGTTCTGTGAGTGTTTCTGTAAATCGAAGGTCCCCAGAATTAATATTGCTTCTAGATATTATCCAATTTTTAAAAAACGGGGGAATGGATGAGAGCGAAAGCTTATAGGTGTAAGTAACCAAGTGTAGCTCACACAGCTCGTTTACTCTCAACCACCCCATGTCTTTGAAGAAAGAGCTGATATGATCGTATTTTTCAAATTGTTGATCAACCTAAATCGTGTGAGAGATATTGAGTTGAGAAATGGAAGATAAACTAAATCACATTGCCTTATTTTGAACATTACCAAAAACTTTTTTTAGTTGTATAGTCAATAAATAACTCTTAATGATATTATTTACATGTGGTATGAAATAAAAACATTTACCTAAGGTTGCGCTCAAGTTTTTGGCTAATTCACTTACTTCTGTAGTCTGGCCAATTAAGTTTATGCTAAAATTTCTTTTGGCGTCACTTCTAAGCAGTTTTACATATTTTATATTTCATATCTTCATTTACATCAGATTCAGCACTTTGAATGCTGTGATTACGGAAATGACTGTAGATGTATGAATCGTCGGCAAATCAGAAATATACAAAATGAATAGGAATGGCCCAAGTACGGACCCTTGAGGCACTCCAAGGATGAGGAAATGCGGCACTTTGGAGACAAAACCATGTCAATGTGTATTCTTTGATATCGATTTCTTACGAACCTATGAATGATATTGAAATAAGAATCAGGAAAACCAAAATATTTACACTTGGCTACTAGAAGACGATGATTTCTGGTATCGGATCGCTTAGAGAAGCCAAGAAGAACTGATGATGTGACCATCTGCTGGTCCCAGGCTCTAAGATTAAATCTGGTACTGCATTGGGTACATTGCTTTCTTTAGTAATTTGGTCAAAGCGTAGTAACGAAGTAGAGAAGAAGCCTGGTAACTTGGACACCTATGGAGGTCAAACGCAGCTGGTAAGTGTTTTACCCGCTGTCAGAATTATTAGAAAAAATTGTGGATGACGAGCTGCGAGAACATCTAGAAGTAAATAAAATATCTACTACTTGACCCCAGCTAACATACATAACACGTCGGCAGCAGTTATGAAAATTACAAGCGATATAGTCAAATCTATGGATGATGGAATGGTTACACTCTTGGTGATGTTAGACTATAGCAAGGCATTTGACATGCTCAATCACAATGTTCTGTGTAGAAAATTGCAACACTGTGGTTTATCTGGCAATGCCTTGCAATGGTTCATCAACTATTTGACCGACAGATCCCAATGTGTAAAAATTTGCGATAAAATATCGAGATGTTAAATCAGGTGTTCCACAAAGAAGTATTTTAGGTTCTATACGGTTTAGTTTCTACACTACAGATTTTCTTAGATTGTATAACATGATAATGGACCTCAATGTAAATTTAAGGATAATCGAAAATTATTCAAGAAATCTTTTAGATGGAACCATTATTGAAATTGTGGATGAAACTAAAAATTTAGGAATAATGTTAGATACAAATTTATGCTTTGAGAGTCATGTTCTAAGTAAACCTAGAGTATGTTATTTTAAATATGAATCTCTCTAGAGATACAAGAGTTTATTGCCAAGTGGTATAAAAGCAAGACTTGTTAATTCACTAATTCTGACACATCTAGAGTATGGAATTACAGTTGATTATAATCTTCTAACAGAGGAAATGAAGCAGAATATCCGAATTCTTCAAAATTGTTGTATGAGGTTTTTGTCACAGCGATATACACAGACAAGAGCACATTACTAAATACTAGGTATATGCGTGAAAATGTTTTAAAATTTCCATATCGCTTTTTACTTTTCCATGCTACCTTACTTTATAAAATTCTAAAATATAAATCCCCTAGGTGTAGTGAATTGAAGAAACGGTCATCACTTCGACAAGTATTACTGCGCAATGATAATATTGTTACAACATACCGGCCCATACAACATCTAAATTCAAAAAATGTTTCCTTTACACGGCACCATCTATTCTTAATGATTATTCCAAATTCTTTGAAGCATTTTGTATCTATAATTTCAAAAGTGAATTAAAAAAATGCTATTACAATTGTAGTTCATTGAAGACACAACCACTTCGAAATAATTGTTCCTATTATGGTTTTTATGTATTATAACGTTATGTATACTCAACATATGTTATTAAGTTTCACATCTGTAGCTTAGTAGGCTGAGGTGAAAAATGGCATTGCCGACCCCCAGCCTTTTGGGGTATTATATGTTTTGTACTGATGTTATGTATATACTCCAATAAACATTATTATTATTATGGACCTTCTTGCAGACCCCGTGATGACTAATGCTAAACTTTATATATTTCGATTTTTATACTGTTGGTGAAACCTTCGCATCGTCCAATGAAGGTTCAATCATCCTGTTGGCTATACCTAACCGCTGTTAGATTTTTGTTGTGCCCTTTCTAAAGAAGAGTAAATGTCTATTAAGTATGCTCTAACCCATGAAGATGCCCTGCAAGCTATTGAGCCATCCTTCGGACCCGAAGTCTGTCGGGACTTGCTATGAACTTGCCTGCGGTCATTTCTCCTTCTTCATGTCTTAGCCAGACTCCTATATGGCGGTTTGTTCAAGGCATGACCTTTTGCCTGGTACCACCAGCCTAGATTCGGGGTCTACGCATACGCCTCTAGCCAGATGAGCTTCAGGCTATACTGTATGTACATTTTTAGATAGCTTTGCGCAACGTATTATCATTTTTCATTGTACTCTTAAATAGTGATAATAAGCGAGTTCAGAACAATGTAATTTTGGAGCACTGATATGATTTTTTGGAAGCAGTTTCAATGCAAGATTCAGAACTATCGGTAGCTTATCAGTCAATACTTCCCAAAAGAAGAAAAAATGTTTGAAAAATATAGGTTTGCTAGATGCATTTCAGTTCTATCATGACATAAAAAATCAAAAATAAGTTTACGTTACACCTCGTTAAACGGTAATTTGTCACCAACTATGGTTATTACCAGAGTCGATCAATATAAAAAATCTAATAAGTAGTACAATCAGTAAATCATTATATACTTTTGGTACATTTTTTATAAGCAGCAAGCATCTCCACATCGCACATATTACGTATCTAAAACAAAGCTGAATAAATTCTGAAAGTTCATTAATGATTATGTTCTAATAACCCTTCAATCCATGTATTTTTTAAAGGCGAGTTAACATATGAGTTTTCCATCATCGCTACGGTTCCAATTTTTGTTTTTCAGACGAGAGCGCCGACCATGTCGAAAATTTTACAATTTTAGACAACAAATATGATTACTTGCTTCTGTCGGCATGCTTGTTCTTTTTACTTTTCTAACCTCGAAAAGGCTACGCCGAATTTGATTAAAACTGAGGAGGTGTTCTCACAAACTGTTCGGTCTAATCTTTTTTTTTCTTAGAAGAGGAAGAATTTTGATTTTTTTCTCCACCGTTTCTTCCTCGAGGGAGATCATTATTTTATAAACTTTACTTTCTATGCTTTTTCAAGTGTCATTGTGAAAACATATACAAGGTAAAGAGTTATATAATTCATTCATCAATAACCATATCCAAACAATATGTTTGTTGTGTATTATGAGCTTTTAAAGCATTTTTTATTGAGGTCAGTTTCAAAAATCACGCTTCAGAAGTCCAAAATTTATATACATGCTGTATTTCAAAATAGAAATTAGCTTTTGCTTGTAAAATGCTTACAATAGTACAAAATCAAATGTAAAACAACAAATTTCATCTATGTTTCATGAGCTTCTTCTTGTAATTTCTTAATCCACGTATAACGCTTCTTCGCTCAAATCTAAGGCTCCAGTCTGTACGTTCTTCAAATGATCTTTCAAGATAGCATAACCATTCCCTCCATGTGCCAAATATGTGCACGTGATCAGCTTGTAAATTTTGTTGTCATCCAGTGGTTCAAAGGTTGGTATTGTGTGTCAAAGACCGTCCACCACCTACGGACAATCACAACATTAGCCAAGGATAGGGGTAGGATTTTTGATCAAATTGAAGGTCACCGTCAAAGAGCCCAGGAAAATGAGTAGAATTTATTTTAGAATCAAGGTTTCCGAAATTATTTATCGTAACCGGGTTTTTTGAACAGATTATACACTGAGAAAAAAATTTGTCTGACGACTTAAGTTCAATGTGTACGAGAGGGGAATGTGTATAGACATATGTTAGAAAGATAAATGCCGGCTGGATAGCGAAGCTCATCATTGCGTTGCTTAGCAACGCTGACACTGACAACATACATTACATACTCAAACATTGATGTACAAGACCTTCAAATATTTCTACAAGAAGTTGCTATTGTGCTAGAAAATACTGATAATATGATTGCTCTTGTGGAACATCCGCGTTGATAATAACATGTAAAAATTTCTTCCCCATGGTGAATATTTTATTGTATTTGCTCATCAAAGGGTGCTAACAACGAGAATGAGTTCCAAAGGCAATATATGCGGTTCATTCC